CACATACACACCAGTACACTGTGACGGTAAATTAAGTATACTGCACTCATAAGGCAATTACGTGGTAAGTAGGTTATACTAACATTATCTTCTTAAGTAAACTCAACTTCACCCAACTCCTCTTTACTTCCAAAACTTGAACCGGAAATGTAAAATTTGTATGGGTGCGATATCTGGAACAACTTAATTGTGTATACAAGAGTCATAGAAGAAACAAAACTCATTAATCCTTCTTGCACGTAAACTAAAGATTATAAAAATGAAATTAAAATAGTGAGGGTATTTTTTTTTTGCCTTTCTCGTCCGTATTTTAATTTTTTTTAGACGGGGAAAGGTCGGTAGGTTTTTAATAATCGTGAAGAGGAATGTGCCCAATCACCTTTGGCGTTGTGTTGGGTGGGCTTTTCTGGAGATAAACGCCTAGAATTGTAGTCCTAGTCAGAAATGATCCAGATATTTGCTGCCTGTTAGCTGTTTTAGGCGTCCTGGCTCACTACCATTGGGAGCTGCAGTGTGCCAGAAGGGTTGCAATGTTATTTCATTGTCATTTTTGATTTTTTTTTGCTATTAGAGAAGAAGAAAGACAGAACAAAAAGGTTTTGTGCTTTCTTCTTTTCCAAAAAGATGCGAAAAAGAAAAAAAATTGAACGTTTATATATAAAGCATATCCTGAGGATAAAGATCCAATATTGAACCCTCGTTGCTCATAGTTAGAAGCAAGATAGTTTTCTATGTAGAGAATGACACGTGAAATGCGTTTGGAAGGCTTCCATAGTCTATTATAATGAATGAGTTTTGATCTTCTAGGCAGTTTATACTTTGGGGTTGACAATTTGTTAAATTTCGCACATTGTCGTTGTATAAAGTTAAGCGACACTAACACCTGTCGTTGCAAAAATGTAAACAAAATCAGAAAAGAGAAAAAAAAAAAAAGTCTCCTAAGGCCCGCCCCTTGGCTGCTACACATCTAATGCCCTCATCTCACTTGATTCCATGATTAAAACAAACAACCTTAAAGAACAGCTTGAATGGCTACATCAATCAAAGCCCAATCTACCGTGTCCGCAAGTAATTACTGCAGCACTTAAAAAGTATCCCAAAACTAGCCACGCATCGTTACCAACGCGTAGTAGTCAACAACAACAACAACAACAACAGCAACAGATTAGCCCCAGTACTGATCGATCCAATCCCTTACGAGAAGATGTCACTGTTCGTGGAAATCTAGTTATTACCACAATTTCGCCCGATCCAAGCAATAAGGAAAATGTTCCACCACCAGCAAGCCAGAACAACGATTTTAACGACTCTTTGTTCACTTCATCATTTAACGCGTCTTCTGCGTCCATAATACTGCAGTCGCTAACACAGAGCAAAGGGGCAAACAAATCGAGAAAAACGCAATCAAAGCTACCGTTGGTGTCAAAGTTTTTTAAACTGCAGAGTAATTCATCGACACAAGCAACTCACGCACGAAGTAGAAGCCAATCCAGCCCTGACGATGTAATCGATTTGACACTAGATAATGAGTCGCCGCAAAAGCGACTGGCTGAGGAAGGAGATAAGGATGGGGAAGGGGATGGGAGATTGTTTGCTGCTAACAAAAGAGCAAAGCTAGATAAGACGCAACGTTACATTGAACTCATACATCTACAAGAAACCAAGATTAAACTACTAGAAGAAAAATTTGTCACTAGCGAATCGACGTCTATCTCCTTGGACCAGAAAAAGGAGCACTATGTTGAATTGCAAGCCAAGATAGTGTCCTTGGACGAATCGATTGCCAAATTGAAAGAAGAAGAGGAGGAGGTGGATGCGCCGGTTGCTGTTTCAGCGGCACCACAACCACCACCACCACCAACACCACAGCAAGAAGTAACGGAAGACATCGAAGATTCCACTAGTGAGGCACATGTTTTTAGAGCACCTGCAAGACCAAGGAGGATTGCTGAAGCAAGAGAGATTGTGTCGAATATCGACGTGGACATCGACAACCTGGTTCTAGATATAGAGGACGATTTTGGCAACAACACCATGGAAGGGTTGAGAACGCCAACACAAGAGCGAGATGATGTTGACGATTTGGGTAGTTTCATAGACGATGCTTCCGTCACTAACTCACCTGATGGCTCAGTCGATATGTACTCAGACGACGGCTCGGATGCAGTGGTGATTGAAAGTCAGGAACTAAACAATATAAGATTGTCGCCTGATGTTGCCGAGAAATATGGCATTGCTTATGATGATAGGCCGTTGCCCGCTAGTCCCATCAACGAAAACAACGGCGATCTAGATTGGCTGAATGAGGAAAATGACTATGTAGAAGACATTGAGTTTTCTACTCAGCTCAACCAAGAACGAGAGATTGATGTGATAGAGATTGACTCAGACTCGGACGAGGATATCGACTTGGCTGACAATACAGCCCTTAGCGAGATGCCATTGCCGGGACGCAACTTGATTAGCTCGTCCAATTCAAGCACGGGATCGCTGTCTGCGTCAAACATAAATGCCATATCGGCGGCCGTTATTGCAACACAAAATGGGCCGCCGCTTTTGAATATTGATAGTGAAGACGACTTCAGTGATGAGGATGAGGAGATCATGCAAATTATCAATGCGCCAAAGCCGGTGACGCGGAGTGTACCTGAAGGATCGGAAGAGTTTATTGATGAGGTGTATGACACCCTTAACAAGGTATTTAAGCTTCAGTCATTTCGTCCTAACCAATTAGAGGCTGTTGTGGCGTCGCTTTTGAACAAGGATGTGTTTGTTTTAATGCCCACTGGAGGTGGAAAGTCTCTTTGTTACCAACTTCCTGCTTTGATAAAAGGTGGGCATAGCAAAGGCACGACGGTTGTCATTTCACCATTGATATCGCTAATGCAAGACCAAGTGCAGCATTTAATTCACAAAAACATAAAGGCGGGTATGATTAGCTCAAAAGCAAATAGTGATGACAATAAGCATACGCTAAACCTCTTTCGCGAGGGGTTTCTCGATATCGTATACTTGTCGCCAGAGAAAGCCAACAAATCGACAATGATTCAAAAGATTATCGGCAGACTATATGAGCGTCAACAACTAGCGCGTGTTGTCATTGATGAAGCGCATTGTTTGAGTTCATGGGGGCATGATTTCCGTCCAGACTACAAAGGAATGAGCTTCTTCAAGGAAAGGTTTCCCGCAGTTCCGCTTATGGCGTTAACGGCGACTGCTAACGAAAAAGTCAGAATGGATATTGTGCATCACTTGAAAATGGATGCGCCGGTTTATCTCAAACAAAGCTTTAACAGAACCAACTTGTTTTACGAGATAAAATGGAAGAGTGGCAACTACCTCGAGTCAATGAAGGACTACATCTTATCGCGGTACAAGAACAAGTGTGGTATTATCTATTGCCACTCGAAGCAGTCATGTGAGCAGACCAGTGCCAAGTTGAATCTGTTTGGTTTGAAAACGTCATTTTACCATGCAGGTATGACGCCCGAGGACCGTTTCAAGATTCAAACTAACTGGCAAAAGAACAAAATCCAGTTGATTTGCGCAACTATTGCATTTGGTATGGGTATTGACAAGCCCGACGTGAGATTTGTGATACATTTGTTTATTCCTAGAAGCTTGGAGGGCTACTACCAGGAAACAGGAAGGGCGGGTCGTGATGGCAAGCCGTCTGAGTGTATCATGTACTATTGCTACAAGGATGCGAGATCGTTGCAGAACATGATCCATCGTGATGCTGACTTGAGTGACGAAGGTAAGGAAAACCACTTGGCAAAGTTGAGACAAGTGGTTCAGTATTGTGAAAACACCACGGACTGCAGGCGGAAGCAAGTGTTGCACTACTTTAATGAATCGTTCAATCCAGTGAATTGCAAGAAGCAGTGCGACAACTGCAAAAACTATAACCACGTTACTGTTGTTGAAAAAGACTGTACTCAGTATGCCCAGGATATAATCAAACTAGTCAAATCAATCCAAAATGAAAAGGTGACCGTTTTACACTGCCAGGATGTGTTCAAGGGCCTCAAGTATAACAAAATTACCAAGATGGGCCACAACAATAATCCGTACCATGGGAAGGGAAAGAACTTGGACAAAACCGATGTGGAGAGAATCTTTTTCTATTTGCTTAGTGAGGAATGTCTAGTCGAATACCAGGTGATGAAAGGCGGTTTTGCCTCAAACTACGTCAAGGTGGGAAGAAAAGCCACCAAAGTGTTGAATGGAAACAAAGCTATCAAAATACAATTTAGCTCGTCTTAGATATATAGTTCTATACATTATCATCATGGTAGACAAAGTTTGTTCTCTTTGGGTCCTTTGGTGCGCTTTTCGTATACTGGGCATCATCTGGAGGTCGCTCCGAAAGCGTATTTGAATGCAACATGCTCTGGATACTGAGTAGTATACTTTCAATGGAGCACGCGGGGGTCCAATCTTCGCCAAGGAGGTTGAGGCAAATATGGCCATTTGAGTAGATATGCGGATGGAGTGGAATCGGCGAAGACGTGTAGTTGATGAACATCACTGAAGGCGAATCCACAGGGTACTGGTCGGTTATGGTCACCTGGAGATAGTAGTCGTCAGGATAAAGAGCATGGTTGTCAATGTGTATTTTGAAGAGGAAGCTTCGCAACTCGTCTGCGGAGATGAGCTCAACTCCAGGCAAGTTGGCTTTGCTGATGGATTGATACTCTTTCGCTAGCCTCTTCTGGTATGGATGCATGGGGATAATGTGGTTTAATTTTGCGTTGGCTTGAAAGAAAAAAAAAAAACAAAAAAAGACAATGCATTGCAAATTTGACGTACGGAATTTGGTAATGCTTATGTAAGCATGGAGATAAGCTTCTTCCCTGTCTCCAGTTAGTTTATGGCTGACTACGAGGGGCGCACATTTTGGCTGAACTTTATGAACGATGCTAATTTCGTTTGCAAGTGTATGTATGTATGTATGTATGTGTGTGTGTGAATATGACGAAAACAACTGAATTGACATGAAATACTACTTCCCTTAGTTCGAAACGGATAGTTGACAAGAATTCGAATTTTGTCTTTCGCTGCATTGTTTTCTTTTCTCGACCTATTCTCCCGCCACACGTACGTAAGGCATCAATGGCTATATAATGGAACAGTTTTCCTCAAGAAAGATTCAGCAACAGACTTTCAAGGGAAAGCAAGATGAAATTTGTAACTACAGCTGCTGCTTTGCTAGCCGTACTCGGTGGTGCTGAAGCATTAGCCATCAACCCACAAGAGCCATTCAACTTGGTTGACATTGATAGAGAAAGTAAGCTATTTTCCAAAGCTTCGAAGTACTTTAATGAGCCCTTGGAGTCATTGACGGATGAAACAAAGAAATTGTGGTCGGATTTTGTTTTCCAGTCAGATGCTTTCAAAGGCTTGAGAATGACAGGAGGTAAAGCTAAGGTTAATAAGCAAGAGTTTGACTTTCATGTCAAGGATCAAAAGATGCCCAACTATGGATTGAGGATTAAAGACCCATCAGAGTTGGGACTCGATACTGTCAAACAGTACTCCGGCTACTTGGACATCCACGATGAGGACAAGCACTTTTTCTTCTGGGCGTTTGAGAGTAGAAACGACCCAAAGAATGACCCAGTGATTTTGTGGATGAACGGCGGACCGGGGTGTTCGTCAAGTATGGGTCTCTTCTTTGAATTGGGTCCATCCTCAATCAACAAGGATTTAAAACCGGTTTATAATGCATACGCTTGGAATAATAATGCCACAGTCATTTTCTTGGACCAACCCGCCAACACGGGATACTCCTACACATCAAAGCCAGTCTCAACCACTACTGCTGGAGGCAAAGATGTTTACGCTTTTTTGGAATTGTTTTTCAAACAGTTTCCTCAATATGCCAAGTTGGACTTCCACATTGCTGCTGAATCATATGGCGGTCATTTTGCCCCTGTTTATGCTAGTGAGATTTTGAGCCACCCGGAACGTTCCTTCAACTTGACGTCAGTTTTGATTGGTAACGGATTGACAGACACCTTGGTTCAGTATGAGTATTTTCAACCAATGGCTTGTGGCGAAGGTGATGAACCAAGTGTTGTTGACCCGCAGCAGTGCCAAATAATGGATGCTACAAAGCCACTGTGCTTATCGTTAATCAAACAGTGCTACGAGACAGAGTCGGTTTGGAGCTGTTTCCCTGCTACCGTTTATTGCAACGAGGTACAAATGGGTCCTTACCAAAGAGCTGGATATAACATATACGACGTTAGACTCAAGTGCGACGGTTCGCTGTTGTGTTATGAAAACATTGAGTATATTGACATGTACTTGAACAAGCCTGAGGTTATTGAAGCCGTTGGAGCTGAAGTTTCAAAACACGAGTCTTGTGACACTGGCATTTACGCAAACTTTTTATTCTCTGGAGATTGGATGAAGCCGTACTACAAGAAGGTGATTGACGTGTTAGAAAAGGGAGTGCCAGTGTTGGTTTATGCCGGTGATAAGGATTTCATCTGCAACTGGTTGGGAAATCAAGCGTGGACTGACAGGTTACAATGGAGTGGTTCAAAAGGCTTTGCCAAGGCGCCAATTAGAAAGTGGGAAGTAGATGGCGAGCATGCTGGAAACGTTAAGAATTACGACAAATTCACATTCTTGAGAATCTTTGGCGCCGGCCACATGGTGCCATACGACAAGCCAGAGAACTCACTCGACATGGTCAACAGATGGATCAATGGTGATTACAAGTTGTAAGCGTGTAGTTTAAGTAAGAGATTCAAAAATGGCTCAGTGTCTAGCTCAATGTCTTATTTACGTTCTTAATAAGTAGTATTGATTGCCCTGCATTTCTTATTAAGAAGCTGCTGCAGTGGTACTAGTTCATACTTACTACACAAATACTTTCCTAACCAGTATACAAGTTGCTTGAATGTTGCTCCCGCTATATTTGTAATAATTAAATAGCAATTTACCAAATCTAAAGATTACTTTTCTAATGAAGATAAAACCTGAATTTCAAACTAACTATAAAAATGTATAAAATGTGCCCATTGAGCTACTTACGTAGTTTCCCAAATCTCACACAGCCATCTAAATCACCAACGCGTAACAGCTTAACTACCTTCCTAACAAGGTTAAGTTATAGTATGCTTCCGTTATTGGTAAATTTAGCATGTAGTAAAAATAATTGGTAGCATTAGATATATGGTATAACAATATTACACACCCTCAGTAGGAAAAACTCTTTTAATGGGCGAATTAATTAGAGATGAAAGGGAACTAAAACCAAACACGACAGTACCAGTTGGCCGTCCTTGCCCAAATATGGCTCTACCTACTTTCCCTAAGAATCTTTAAGACAAACTTACACAGTAGGATCTATTCAATCTTGTATAGAAATAATACTTTACTCAGCGGAAGTATATCTCCGAAATTACAGATGAACCAAAGGGCGTAGAATGAGGAGTAATTCACAATCTACGTAGAGAGCCTTTGCCAGCGAGTGTCAAGGGGGTCCTTGCATTAAGCAATGTGTAAATTAAGAGGAAAGGATCAATTGAGCAGCAGCAGAAGCTCCCCAGTCTCTAGAGCAGATCAAACCCTTTACAATGCGTTGCGGAGTAAGTGAGGAGAACTATCTTCACGTGATACAGTTATAATAATTGAGTTCCCCAGATAAGAAGAGATACGCTTATATAGGGGGAGGGCAGCACAAAGTTAGGGAGGGGAAATTCTAATTTTTTTTATTTTTGACACACAAGAAGAAGAGAGAGAGAAAAAAGGAAAAGCGGAGAACATAAAGCATGAGGAAACTGTAATGCAAATTAGGGGAAGGAAAAAGAGTTGTAATGATGCTTCATTGGCTTGGGGTAGGTATATTACTTGCGTCCAGAAAATTGATTGGATATATAGGATAAATTGCTCTTTTTCGCCATGACAACAAGTGTGTGTTTGTATTGAAAGGCGTGTGATATTGGCGAATCTTCCTAGCGTGATTTGATTGGCTCAAATGCATCGGAATAAATAAAAACAACCAGTAACAAAATAGTATATAGATGCATGATGGGGAAAAAAAAAAAAGGAATAGAAAGAAAAATTAAGAATGGTATTGCGAGATATTCCGATAATTGGAGAACTACCAACAACAAAAGAAAAACAAGAAATCAAAAAAAAAAATACTAAACGGCACAACGACAACATTTCGATCACACAAAACAGCATCACTGAAAGACAATGAAAGCAACAAGAAAGCCATATCGGAAAACAAATTGAAATTGCAAAATTTTCAAACCAGTGAAATGGGAGTGGAGTAGGGGGAGATTGTGAGTTTTCCAAAAGGATATAAGGCATTAATTACACTACAATGTTCCTCACTCCAAGTAGTCATCCAATGGGGAAATATAATTTTGGGAAATAAGTCTGAACGAAAAAGGAAGGAGGGGAATGAAAACTTTCTCTGACTGGCTTAAACGCCTAAATTATTTTTTTATTTTTTTATTTTTAGGGCGAGTAGCGTTTAGTTTTTGTGTAAAATATTATATTGTGGATGGCCCATGATTGAATAGATTATATATAAAACATATCAAATATCCTCTGGAAAAAGAAAAAAGAAAAAAGAAAAAAGAATTTCACAACTAACATATTGTAATTCACTTGTCAGACCGCAGTACAGTTTGCTATCATAATTCTGTGTCATAAGGAGGAAGAAAGAAGTAAAAATTAGAATGTTTGCTCAGTACCAATCCGAGTTTCAACCAAAACACACTAGGACAACCTTGTCATCGCTCTCTTCAGTGTCGTCGTCGAATTCAATCGTTGATTTTAACACAGGAGACTTATTACCAGATCTTTGGCAGACATCATCCAACGAGTCAAGTGTATCAGACGGCCTAGACTATATAAATGCTTTAGCATTCTCTAAACGACAACAACAACCTTCGCCTCACCACTTTAGCTCTTTCCATGCAAAAGTGCAAACTCAGCCACAGATCTCACCTTTTGATGACACCCGCTATATCACCCAACCTACTTTGCTTCCTGAAGTGCACCCATTATGTCAAAACTACACCCAACTGCCGGTACAGAGGGCGTCACAGTTGTGGCAACAGGGACCTCAGTCAACCGTGAACACCCACACACCATGGAGCACACAGTCCACGGCAAATACTCTTTACCTTGATGAGCCATACGACATCCCACAACAGATGTATTTACTAGACGAAGAAATCCCATGCAACATCTCAAAAGAAACTACAGCAATCGTCAAGACACTGTCACCACCACCACCATCAGCGGCCCCATCACATCCGGAAAGTCCTCGCCAACAGGCTAAATCAAAAACAGTAAATACCCAATTGTACAAAACAGAGTTGTGTGGACCATTCATGAAGACGGGCACCTGCCCTTACGGCGTCAAGTGTCAATTTGCCCACGGAGAAGCAGAATTGAAGCATATTGAACGACCACCGAAGTGGAGATCAAAGCCTTGCGCCAATTGGGCAAAGTATGGAAGCTGCAGGTACGGCAATAGATGCTGCTTTAAGCACGGTGATTAAGTCGCTGAGCCTAGCAGTAATATTTAATAAAGATTTTAATGACTGTAAGATAGATAGAAGATATAATGTATGAGATTAATTTATTGTTTAGGGAGCAAATGAATCAAGGCAGTCTACAACCTCGACTAGAATCTCTTAACATGCACTCTCTCCTCCCATCTACAACCTCTCCTCCTATCAACAACAGCCTCAGATGCATAAACAATCACTTTGTATTGTGTGGTGATATAAGGGTTCGTGACGTTCTCCACAGCGCCCAACATAAATGCCGAGTCGAGCCCAGCCTACGCTGATAGAATCAACACAGACGTGGACTCATTGCTGCAACGGACCTTAACCTTTCCTCATCGACTGTTATAGTTGATAAAGAAGAAAAAGAAGAGGAAAAGGGAAAAAAAATTTTTTTTTTTTTCTTTCGCTTTTACTCACTTCAACAAAACATTGCAATTTTTTTTTTTTCATTTCTTCAAGCTCTACACTAATCAACAAACATCGCTCATTTTGTATGCTGGAAATCGTCGAATGGGAGCAATTGAGGCCTGATTTTGAAAAAGGTGTCAAAAGTTCATCTTTAAAGATCAGGCTCGGAACGTTGAAATCGATCGAACTGAATCTAGATGATATTGAAAAAGCAGAATTGCAAATAGTAGCAAAGGTATTGCTCAACACGTACAACTTTTACCAAGATACCGATTCAAGAAATGCTGTTTTAGAGGCATTGCTTAGGATTGGGAATGTAGACGACAAATTTTTATCATACTATGTCGAATTTATCAACAAGGAGACATCGGGAACTACATTGGCCATCACGGACTACTTAACCTTGCTTCAGTGGATAAACTCGTTCAATATAGAGTTGGCCAGAGCAAAGAAGCTAACTGATAATTGTATGACCCTTCAATCAAAGCTCTTTGTCAAGTGTACCGAGCACAAAGGCAAGTCGACTCGACATTTGGAGAGGGTTGCAAAATCAGCTATAACGGCCACGAAAACGAGCATTGCCAATACATTGCTCGAAGATGATACATACATGGACCTTGTAATCAGCCAAGACTGTTTTGCTTTATTCGGTGTGTTGAATACAGCAGCAATCGAGCTCATACCAAAGAAACCTTCGGTACTTGAAAAATTCAAGAGCCACGAAACAAAAGTTTTAAACACATTTGCCAACTTGGTGTTACTAGGAAAGAAAGCTCCGTCAGCGTTTGAGGTGGAGCAGTTTGGTCCATGCATAGAGACGTTGGTCAATGAAGAAAATTTCAATACACTTTTGCTTCCAGCAATCGAAAAGGCAATCCTCAGGTCTTCGGAGAATTCGTTTGGCGTAGTACTTCCGATATTTTTTAAACACTTGCAAATTAAAATCACTCCATCGCCAAAGTTGCAATCATCAATCATTTCCGGGATCAAGTCCCAGAAAGAACACGTCAGGGTTGGTGCTTTTGAAACTTTAGATTTGGTGGTTGCAAAATCAAAAGACGACATTTCGGATGAGATTATCAAAAACATCAAAACCACAACCAACGCCGACTCGAAATCGCTTTTAATCAAAACTCTCCTCAAGTCGACTGCTTCAGAGAAAGTGTTGGAGTCTGTACTTCCCCTAGTTGCAAAGGAGCAGAATGAAACTTCGCTAAGCAGTCTAGTAGATGTTTTTGCTTACCATGCCTTCAGAGCACACAAATTTGATGAAAGCATCACCAAAGCATTTACCAATGGTTTTAAATCGAAATTCAAGCGGGTGTGGTTTGTCGAATATGGGAAACATGCCCTCGGTAAAGAACAACCAGACTTTTCATCCACATTTGATGAGACATTATCGGAAATTGAAAAGTCGCCAGCGGCCAACATCAAGACCGTAGCTTGTGCATTTGTGATCTTGTCACTCACCCATAGAGACTCGCCTTTGCTTGATGAGACTAAATTATTTGAGAAATTAGACACTACTGACTTATACTGGTTTGTGCAAGACTTGTACAACCATCCAAAGGGCTGGCTATACGTGTTGACAGGTAAAAAGGTTTCATATAGTGTCAAGAAAGTGGCCCAAGAACGCTTCAGAGAAGAAGTTGAAGTTAATTTGTCGTTAAGTGACGCTATAATCAAGGAAGCTTACACATTAAACCATGAGTCGCATAATTTGAGAGATCTCAACCCCATATTTGCCATATTATCTCAATTAAAGGAGATAGACCAGGTAAAATCAAACGCAGTCAAGTTGATTATTGCTGCAAATGACCCAAGGGTTAGCATAAACGGCGGTTGGATTGGCTTAGTTCAAAGAAGTGGACACAGGATTGATATCGGACAGTTGGTCAAGGACAACTATCAACAAATTTTCAACGAATGTGTTGCTGACCAATCACCAAATTCTATAAAAGCACTTGCCACTATTGCATTTGTTCAACCAGACTTGGTATCTACAATCACCAAGTTTATTGACGAAAACTTAACCGTTGAGCATATAGACGAGGTGTCGAAATCCATATACTACGGAAAGGATGGTGAAATGGTGATTGACGTCACTGCCAAAAAGCCAAAAGCTTTGGACAAGAACACCAAGGATTACGAAATTAGAGCTTGGGAAGAGTCCATTGGCAAAGAGTTGAAGCAGGCAAAGAAACTAACCCCTGAAGAGAAGAAACTCGTTGCTGAGCAAATTGCCAAGGAATCAAGAGTCAGAAATGAAATCAAGAATACAGTTGACAAGGTGAACTACGCTATCGGGTTGATTGACGAGTTAGCTAAGCAAGCCAAGGTGGTCAACAATGGAGCCGACTCTTGGTTCCCCATTAGCGTAAAGAAGTTGCTAGACTTGGCAATCAGTGAAGGCGATTTTTTCAACAGTGCAGAATCATTTATAAACCTCTCCAGCTTGGTCACGTCACGATTTGAAATTTTAAAACAATTTGTCGGGGTTGCCATTTTGCGATTATACGGAGTCAAGGTTGACAGTGAATACGAACAAGAACCATTGGAGTCACTACTTGGACGTATTTTGTACCGTGTCAAGATCTTGAGTGACCAAAATCCATTGGATGCCGTATCCTTAGCGTATGTGCTTCCATTGTTAATCAAGGTGTTGCAGATTGGACAATCAGCTGCTTTCAAAAATTCAAAGAAGATCGCGGTAACCTCCGAGTTTGTTGAGAATGATCCCGAGGAGGAGCATTTGCTCTTGAGTGTCGAGATTATCTCGGCCCATGCGGAATTGTTTGCCGATGTGGGTATTCCTAGAACAAGCATATTGGAAATTTTGGTATCGCTTATGGCCGTGCCATCCAAGGCAAAGTTGGTCAAAGAGTGTTTCCTTTCGTTGTGTCAGTACATTGCAGTCAATATCTCTGACAAAGATTTGCAATTGTTGTTGGCCAATGTTGTATCGCCACATGTGTTTGTTAGATCCACCATTCTAGAGGGGCTAGATGCTGAATTCGAATTGAGTGCTTACTCAAAGGAGGTGTATGTGGCCACCTATGACACCGATAACAACTGTCGAGAATTGGCGCAGACAATTTGGGAAGACAATTCGTTGAATGTACCTGATAGCACCAACTTGCTTGATTTGTTTGGATTGCAAGATCCAGGGTTGCGCATGTCAGTAGCACAAGCTTACAGAGACGCGTCAATACAAAGTCACCTCAATTTAGACGAGTTGTTTAACTTTTACATTGAAAAGAAGAACCCACCAGCACCAAAATTGGACGAGTTTGGTCTCGTCATAAAATCAACTATTGATCAAAGAGACCGATGGGAGGAGAGGTCGACAATAGCTCTCGCTTTGAAATTCCTTGTGCCACACTTGTCGGAATCCGATGTCGAGAAGCTTTTCAAGTTCCTTGTTGAAGAGGCGTTAGGTGATAAGGACCAAAATGTGCGTCAACAATACCAAGATGCCGGTATTGCTGCAATCGAAACCCACGGAGCCAAGAATGTTGAAGCGTTGATTGGAATCTTTGAGGAAAGCTTGCAGGCAAAGAATATAAAGGAGCCTATTGTTGTTTTGTATGGAACATTGGCACGTCACTTGAAAGCGTCAGACGAGCGTTTGAGGGTGATTTTTGATCGATTGATGAAGTCGTTGGATGCGCCAAATGTACAATTTGCCGTGTCCGAATGTATTGCTCCCTTGGTTCCTTCGTTTAAGGACGAGCTTGGAGGACACTTTGACACCTTATTTAATACGTTGTTCACCGGCAAAACTCTCGCCAAGCGTCGTGGTGCTGCATTTGGAATTGCTGGTCTAGTAAAAGGTGATGGGGTACGAGCACTCTCTGACTACGACGTCATCAGAACCTTGACTGATGCTTCTGACGACAAGAAAGATGCCGTCAAGAGGGAAAGCGTTTCGCTAGTGTTTGAAAGTTTATCAAAGAGTTTGGGTAAGTTCTTTGAACCCTTTGTGTTTGAGATTTTGCCAATAATTTTGAAAAACCTTGGTGATATGCTGAGTGAGGTTAGGGTTGCCACCGACAATGCAGCAAAGGAGATTATGAAAAACACTACATCTTTTGGGGTCAAGAAACTTATCCCCTTGGCCATTTCCAATCTTGATGAAATTGCATGGAGATCGAAAAAGGGTTCAGTTGAGTTGCTTGGTGCTATGGCTTATCTTGACCCCGAGCAATTATCAGCTTCATTGTCTATCATCATTCCTGAGATTGTTGGTGTATTGAATGACACGCACAAGGAGGTGAGGAAAGCGGCCGAGCAATCACTTAAAAGGTTTGGTGAAGTTATCAGAAATCCTGAAATTCAACAAATTGTTCCTTTCTTGATTAACGCTATTGGGGACCCAACTAAACACTTGGACGAAGCATTGGATAAATTGACCAAGACTCAATTTGTACACTACATTGACAGTTCATCATTGGCTTTGATTATTCATGTCATACATCGTGCAATGAAGGACAGATCAGCCTCGACCAAGAAGAAAGCATGTCAAATTGTGGGAAATATGGCCATCTTGGTTGACTCAAAAGACTTGCAACCATACTTGAACGAATTGGTCGAAGAGTTGGAGACCGCCATGGTTGACCCGGTGCCTGCTACTAGATCAACCGCAGCCAGAGCCTTGGGTTCATTAGTGGAAAAACTAGGCGAAGAGCAATTCCCAGGATTGATTCCGAAATTGATTGCCACTTTACAAGACGAATCAAAGGCGGGAGACCGTCTTGGTTCTGCCCAAGCATTATCAGAGGTTATATGCGGTCTTGGTACCAACAAATTGGAAGAGCTTTTACCTTCTATTATCTCGTCGGCATCGTCCCCTCGCGCGGCAGCCAGGGCTGGGTTCATGCCACTCTTGCTTTTCTTGCCCGTTTGTTTTGGGTCACAATTTTCACCTTACTTGAACCGTATCATTCCTCCAATCTTGAATGGATTGGCTGATCAGGACGAAGAGATTAGAGAGACGGCATTGAGGGCTGGTAGATTGATTGTAAAGAACTACGCCAAAAAGGCAGTTGATTTATTGTTGCCCGAATTGGAAGCAGGGTTATCCAACGAATCGTACCGTATTCGTCTTTCTTCATTGGAACTTACCGGAGATTTATTATTCCAAATTACTGGGCTTTCTGGTAAAAACGAACTTATTGAAGATCAAATGGTTAACAAAACACTTGCCCAAGTCTTGGGCCAAGAGCGTCGCGACCGTATATTGGCTTCCCTCTTTGTTTGTCGTTCTGATGTTGCAGGTATGGTTAGAAATGCTAGTGCCGATATTTGGAAAGCGCTTGTTGCCAACACTCCACGGACAGTCAAGGAGATATTACCAACTTTGACCGCCTTGATTGTACAAAAGTTGGCATCGGATGATGAAACACAAAGAACCATTGCCGCACATACTTTGGGTGACATGGTGCGTCGTGTTGGTGCAAATGCATTGCCGCAATTGTTGCCGTCATTGAAAGATGCCAAGGATCAAGAAGGTGCTTGTATCGCATTAACCGAGTTGATTAAGTCTACCTCATTGGAAGGTCTCACAACTTATAAAGACACATTCATTGGCATCATTTACAACGGCCTTGTTACTCAAGACAAGCCCACTAGAAATGCCGCTGCCCAAGCATTTGAGCAATTGTACGAACAAATTGGTAAAGTGGTTATTGATGAAGTAATCCCACAATTGTTGTCAGAATTGAGCAACTCGTCAGCATCATTATTGGCGTTGAAGGAGTTGATGGCTTCGAAATCGGAAATCATTTTCCCCATTACATTGCCTTCCTTGTTGGAGCCACCCGTGGACGCAGTTGCATTGGCATCGTTGGCCTCAGTTGCAGGCACAGCGTTGTACAAGAGATTATCAACTATTTTAAACACTTTGATTGCATCAATCATCGCGGGTGAAGAGATTTCAGAAGAGTTTAATCAAGTGTTGTTATCAGTGGAGGACGATGGTGCCCATTTGTTGATGCAGCAATTGTTGGCATTAATGAAGCACGAAGATCCCCAAGTTAGACAAGTCATTTTTGGCCAAACCAAGGGCTTTTTCGAACAAGCTACATTGGACTACTCAATGTACCTTGAAGACATTGTTTATCAAATGATTCTTTCATTGGCTGATCCTTCACCTCAAGTTGTCAAGACATCAATGGAGTCACTCACGGTCTTGATCAAGAAACAGCCAAAGGAATTGTTGGACAAATTAGTCAAGCCTTCATACCAAGCGCTCAGACTCACCGGTGTTGCCGTCCCGGCATTTGCATTGCCCAAGGGCCCCAACTCGATCCTCCCCGTGTTTTTGCATGGACTCATGTATGGATCATCTGATCAACGAGAATTATCGGCATTGGCAATTGCCGATATAATTGAAAAGACACCGGCCGAAAACTTGCGCACCTTGGCCACCAACTTGACCGGTCCTTTGATTAGGGTTATTGGTGAAAAAGTGGCGTCAAATATCAAATCGGCCATCCTTGTCGCTTTGAACAACTTGTTGATCAAGATTCCGCAATTCTTGCGACCATTTATCCCGCAATTGCAAAGAACTTTTGTGCGTTCATTGAGTGATGTGTCAAATGATACCTTGAGAAAGCGTGCTGTTGTTGCTTTATCCACATTGATCAAGCACCAACCTCGAGTCGACTCATTAATTACTGAATTGGTGACAAACTCCAAGGCCACTGATGATTCTGGAGTCAAGGCATCGATGTTGCAAGGAATGTTGGCGGTGGTTGAATTAAAGGGTAAAGAGTTGAATGAAGCATCAAAGTCAAGTTTGTTGTCGGTTGTTGAAGAAGAGAGTATTGATTCTGTTTCATCTGCCAAGTTATTGGGATCATTGGCCAATGTGTTGACACCAGAAGAAACTGGTGTGTTGTTGCAGAAAAAAGTTATGAATTCGCAAAGCAAGTTTTCCATTTTGGCAATTAACTCCTTTTTGAAATATGCTCCCGAATTGGTGAAACATAACCATGAAGTGGTGGATTTCATTGCTGCTTGTTCTGATTCAGCAACTCCATACATTAGTGATAACGCCACAATCGCCATTGGTAAATTGGTCCTTAGTGATGTCAATGACGAGAAATTGTACCAGCAATTGGCCAAGAATGCCATTCAGCCAAACTCGGCATCACCTGATACGAGAAGATTATCATTGATTGTGATTAGAAGTGCTGCTCATAAGCGCGTAATACCACAAGAATATCTCGATTTCCTTGTTCCTAGTGTATTCAGCTCGGTTCGTGATCCCATCGTCCCCATCAAGTTGGCTGCCGAAAAGGCGTATTTGGAGATATTCTCCATTGTTGAGCAAGAGTTGACGGTGTTTGATGGGTGGTTTAATGGTAGAACCGAGATTGTTACTGTTACTGGTACCACCATTGCTCCTCGATCAATTGGCGATTATACAAAGAGAGTTGCTGTCAGATTGGCCAACGTTGAAAGAGAGCGTATTGAACAAGGTGGTGATGAAGAAACGTTATTTAGTGATAGAATCGAAGATGAAAAAGAAATATGGTCGGTTGGTATATAAGTAAAAAAAGTGTTTATATTATATTATATTATATTATATTAAAGTATTATTTATAATCACCTATAGGTAGGTTTAAACTTTTAAGACTTGGTAATGCATCAGTTGAAGAAGGCGACATCTTGGGTATACTGAAAGTAGCTTTTGATGGTGTACTGGGTCGTTGGCTAACAGGATTACCATTGTTGCTGCTGCTGCTGCTGTTGTTGTTGTTTCCTGGTGCAGCTGGAGTCATTGCTAACAGGGCCAAATTAGTAAAACTGTTACTGGCTGACATTAGCGGAGTGGAACTGGTAGATAGACCTAGGATAGGAGAGTTGGGCATGGTATAATTGTGTCCGTGGTTGTTGTAAAACTTGCCATATTGGTAAAACTTAGGACTATTTGGTCTAGATTTCTTGAGCTTCAGTTTGAGGTAGTCAATGTCTGAGTCTTGAGATATGTTTTGTTTGCGACCAGAAGCTTGATTTAATTGTGGTTGTGGATGTTCTACCGGTGTCATTCTAGGAATACCCGAATACCTGCTTGCAATGTTTGACAAATAAGTTAGGTTCCCTGTATCATTAATGTGGAATGAAGCCTTTTCTCGAGAAAATTCCTGGTTCAAGTTCTGGCCCCATTTCGGTGGTGAGAATTTAAATTCCAGACTTTGAGGTTTTTGTGAATCGTTGTTGAAATGATCAACAAGCGAAGGAAGTGATTTGGATAGTTCTATACTAGCCAATTCTTGAGTGGCAGCCAGGGCTAGTATATCTATACTAGAAATATTCTTGTTCATGGTGAGAGAATCCTGCGACGCGGCCGAATTTGTCGAGGTGGTTGTGCTTTGTGGAGTGGCACCTGCGGCTGCTGCAACGGCAACTTGTGCATCTGCTTTAAAGTTGGGAGTAGCTGTAGGCGTGAGCGGCAGATCAGTAAATGGTTGTCTTTCATTTTGGTGTGACAGTTGTTGCGATATCATTGAATCAGTTTCCATCTTGGTGTCAGGTGATGAGGAGTTGGTTGGTGAAGAAGGTGGCGATGTATTCGTAGTAGTGGTAGTAGCACCACCATTATTCTTCTTCCTACCCCTGGTGGTAGTGGCGGCGCCATTGGAAACCAGCTGTTGTTTGGCCTCAGTCGTTCCAGCAGTTGTATTCTTGAAAACTATTTCGTTTTTGACCTTTTCATTCTTTTTATTTTTCCTCGAGTTTGGATTGGTGTGGATACGCAAGTGTCTGGTTAGTTCATCTGACCTGCTAAACTTCTTAGTACAGCCAGGGAACTTACACACATGTGGCTTCTCACCAGTGTGGGTACGTATGTGTCTTGTTTGATGCTCTAGCCTATGGAACGCTTTTTCACAATGGGGACATTTGTAAGGTCTAGTACCGTCTCGCTTATTCTTCAGTGATGACAGCTGTGTGTTGTCAGTGTGAGTTGAGTCAGTTGTAACTGTTCCATTATTTGGTGTGGGCTGTTGTTGTTGTTGTTGTTGTTGTTGGGAGTGTGGGGGAAGCAATTCCAGTGAGTGAGGGGAAATTTGATTGTGGCTCACCTGTGCCAGTTGCTCCAGTTGTTGTTGTGGTTGTTGTTGTTGTTGATCTGATATTACTATATTACTCATTATAAGGGGACGGTGAATACAAGCTGTCTATTGGTTAGGATGAATAGTTGTGTCTCTTGTTTTTGGCTACTTTAGAAAAGAAAGAAAGAAAGAAAGAAAATGTTTTTTTGTAGGAGAAAATTAAAGATGGTGATGTTTTTTTTTTTATTTCTTTTATTTTCTCTCCCCCCCCGTCTATTGTCTTTTTTTTTTTATTTTTTTTTTCTGCTCTCTTACTTACTTACTTACTTACTTAATTACTCTCTCTTTCTTTCTCTCTCTTAGTACTACTCTATTTATAAAAGGTCTTTAATAAAAAGATTTTCCGAACTGGCAAAAGGGAAAGGAAAAAAAAAAAACAAACATCTTCACTTTCTTACAGGCTTTTTGTTACGATTTCACCCGGATATTGTATTCTGTATACATACTGACATATACAATCTGTATAGGTTATACTCTGCAACGTGTACAGGTATACTCTTTTATTTACCTACTTACAACAGAGCAAGTATATACAAAAAGACAGATAAAAAAGAGTCCTGTTAAAATATTACCCCTCTTTTACCCCTGCCCTTGCTTTAATATACTTTTGCACACACACACACACACACACACTATCTCTCTCTCTCTCACCAACCCACAAAAATTTCAAACATTCAAAACAAATTTTTTTTATTTATTTTTAAAGTATGGGGAAGTAAAAGACAATAGAGAAGCTAAAAAAATAGAAAAAAAAAGAAATTTTCTTCTTCTCTCTTTCACGGTAAGATATTAGTTTTTGGATGCCAGCACATACAAACGTTAGTGGCAGTGCGTGCGTGTACCTATCTTTTTAAACGTTTCTACTCTAGTTAGTTAATGTGTCGCAAGAACTCGACACAAGATGAAAATTGGAGGACACCTACTAAGACGTGAGGAGTAATAAGAAAACAAAAGAGAAATAATTGAAATCAGACTAAGGGGGAGTGGAGGAGAGATTCTTTGGATGAAAAGGTGGGGAATTTCTCATTTGTTGAACACCGACAAATCCCAAACAACTAGGATGTTGTAAGATATTGACTAACTTTGGAATGACACGTTTGTTGTTTTACTCGAAGTCGTGGAGCTCAACTCCTCTTGCTCCTCCCGTGTTTCATTCTATCTCAAGCTTTCCCTTTTACTATTCATCTGTTTACTGTCCTTGTTCTCTTGCTCAATCTTACCACGAGAACCAAAACACTATATTAGCAATCAACTGAGGAAGCATATACCATTTCCGGGATTCCATTATATAGGAAAGCTTGAGCTATGTCACTGCTAACATATTTAATTGGCACTTGTAGAAACTAGTGAAGCGATACATCGTTAATAAATAGGTTCAAATCGTGTGGACCTTTTACAACGGCATTTGAGCATACTGTAAACGCCCAAACGTTAAAGAGAACAAAGCCAACAGATCCTTTGTTCCGGGTGTTTGTGTAACGTTACAGTTTTTGTTTTTCTTCGTTCTATATTTTCCAACCAGTTAGCGTTCGAGATGACTTTCCATATACGGACTCACTCAAAAAAAGATAGGTATTGGATTATTGCAAATACAGTGTGGAAACTGTAAATTGTCTCATTCATCTTTGCCCCTGTTCTGTAGACTGAATGCGATGGTACGGAATAGACAGAGAGAGGGAGTAAACATTGACCATATCACTTTGTTAACCTCAAGTTTGACGAACAGGAGAGTACGTAAATGTTGATTAAGGTAACTGTAAAGAAGTTGTGAGTTGTGAGTTGTGAGTTGGTGTTGGTGTTGTTTAATTCACACAGTCGTAGACAACTGCCATCGTCGATCTAACTTTCTACCCACTTTCTTCAACAGATTTGCAGCAAATCTTTATAAAAAAAATACTAAGCTACAATACACTTCGTAAAATATGCTGCATTTTAATAAAATAAACAAGTAACATAATCAAGAACAAAAACACACTCACTAATATTATACAACTACGTTGAGATCTCGTGACACTACCAGTTTTGTTTTCTCTCTCTCTCTCTCTCTCTCTCTCTCTCTCTCTCTCTCTTCCCCCCCGTTTTATTATTGATCGGATTAACTTTGTTTAAACCGCGAAAGATCTCGTTAACATATTTTTACAATGCAAGAGAACAAAATGTGGACAAAAATAAGACAATAAGCCAAAGGAGGACCAGAATACAAAAAGAAACAAAAAGAAAATCCGAAATCATAGCATGGCTACAAACCAAATCACGTTTACAGATATAATGCTAAATGATGGATGAAACCTGGGAATGTCGCTGAAAATCTTACTTTGTTTACTGAGAGTGAAAGCCACGTTAACAAGACCTTTTAAAAAATATTTCAAAAAATAAAGGGTAAGAAACCCAAAGCCTTGGTTACACCATCACCACTCTTTTTCTTTTGACAAACGTTTCATAAGAAAAATGAAATAGTCGTGTAATTTGAGTTAAGTTGAAACGAATACGTTTGATCTGAAACAAAAAAAAGAAAGAAATGAACTCAAAAGAGAGAATTGTAAATGTTTTTTTTTATTTTTTTTCCGGAAAAACTTGTGATTTTTTTTTCTTCGTTTATTGTTTCTCGGATAAATTTTTTATTTTTGCTCACGCCATCGGTTTTTTTTTTTCCCTCAACTATACTATTTGAAAACAGATGATCTCGGGTTGACAATTGCATATGAAACCGTTTCGCTTTTAATTTACCATGCCCAATAACGGTCATGTATGTTGCTATCCAAGCCCTTTAAACTTGTGGTTCAAAAACAGCCTACATCCAATCACTCCACTTTTATCAACAAAAAGTACAAATGTGCAAACTACTAGTTTACTTCTTCTTAGAGTAGTATCCTTTGCAACAGTGGTGCTATTTAGATATTGTCTATCAAACGTATGATTTGTATCATGAGCAAACGCCTGAGAATTAAAATTCTCTAAATTTTTGATTGATGGTGGCTATCACTACAACGCTTTATCTTCATTTCTTTTTTTTATTTTACCCAAGCAAATAACTGCCTTGCTTAACCGTAATCTATTTTAATTGGCATGTGTTTTGGTCCTTTATGTAAAATTCAAAGTAATGGTGATGTATCTTACCATATCGGAAATACTACTTGAAAACAAATCCGTGTTTGAAGAGCTAATTTGCAAATTTGCAAATTTGCAAAGCCAGGAGAATTCTCCTCACTGTTCATAATCTGTCCAGTAAGAATCATTTCCTTATGATGTAACAACAAGGCAAGCAGTTGCATATACAAAATAAGATACACCCCCTCACCACCACCACAACAACAACCTGTGTATTGTTGTTGTTGTTGTTATCATAGAGCACAAAGTCCAGTCGTGCATTGCAGGAGAAAAAGAGAAAAACAATTTAAAACTTGTTTCTACACAAAACCAAACTCCGAAGAAATAAGAAAACTCAACAAAGACAAACCAAAATGAAGCCTAAAAAGTCAAACAACAAAGACAAAGGCTCACGCATTATACACTCCAAGATACTTTTAGTAATTTATTAGATTTGAAAGCCATAATGTAATTGCTTTTGTTAAAAAACAAAGAACTCTTTGTCATTTTCCTTCAACGGCAATGACCGAAGTGACAAAAACTCCAACATCACCAGATTATTAGCTGCTCTCATTCTGTCTCTCCCCCAGATAAGCCTCCTTCCTTGTCCTTGTCAACCAGGAAGAGTTGGTTCATGAAAAGTAAACAGCATATGCAGGTCAATTACACTCGGATATTAACACCTCTACCTCCTCTGTTGTATTTCTTATTTCCACCAAATTTGTTGGTTTAAGAGATTTTTTTTTTCTTTTTTGTTTTGCATTGTTCAACAAAATATAAAATTTAAAGGCCGAAGTGAGAGCGAGAAAAATTTTTTGTATTTTTAATTTATTTTTGGTGAAGTTACCCCTCTTTTCTTTCCTAATTCGTCAAAAGTAACAAGAACTCTGATGGGGAGTATGTAAACACACAGAACCCAATGCTGTTCTATTGGAATGCTGTTGAGAGTTGGAGGGGGAAAGATTGGGGTTCAAAAAAAGTGTTAAAGATCGTCTATGTAAAGTTCAACTGCTGCTAGGAGTTTAAAAAGGAGGTTAAATTGATTATCTCGTATCAAAAATGCTTTATTTTCGCGACATTGACTTTATTATATATGGGCCCCTTTCTCTAAAAATACTCTGCCATTGGTCAAAGCTTCATGGAACATGATCTTCAAGGAAACTCCTTGTAAAATACATCAATTGCAAAAAGTGTGCATCCGGACTCGGTTTAAGGGGAAGATAAGAGAGGTACACGTGTAAAGCAATTTGCTAAAAACGTATGGTTGATGAAAGTGGTTTGTCATAAAAAGTTGATGACAATAGAAATGACATGATTTATATTAGGGGCGTGCACTTTTTAACAAAAGGTTTGAGTTTTATTTTCTTTTTTGTTTAATAAGGTTACAATACATTATGCAGTATTACTTAAATTAATCATAATATTTTTTATTTATTTTTTATTTTTTATTTTTTATTTTTAATTTTTAATTTTTTTCATCAACAAAATTTACTTTTGATACAGAGGATGTATTTATAATCATTCAATTGCCCTTTTGCAAAAACTGATATTATATACATCTAGTACTCTCTTTTTCTTCTTCTTTCTCTTCTGTAAGTTAATTCCTACGTTTAATATAGTTCACTTATCATCTGCACCAGTAGAAGATAACAAAGCCCGAAAGATCCACTAAGTTATTCAACCCAAGTTTTGTTTTATAGACCACCCGTCATATTTCAGTATAGATCATTAGTCACAACACACGTGTCAACACTACTTTGATCTACTTGCAACTACTGTAAACAAAAAAATGTCAAACAATAGTCAAATTTACCCAAACGACCTTTCGTCCACATTCAATAGCAATTCCACATATGACACAACAACAACAACCACAACATCAGCAGCTTCTATCCCTGTTATTGAACAAGCCTGTGATTCGTGCAGAAAGCGCAAACTCAAATGTTCAAAAGAATATCCTCGTTGTTCGAAATGTATCCAACATAAATGGTGTTGTTCCTACTCGCCAAGAACAGTAAGACTGCCTTTAACTAGAGCTCATTTAACCGATGTCGAAACAAAATTGAGTAAAATGGAAGATATTTTCCATCATTTATTACCAAATTATGATTTAGATGACATCTTAAACAATTTTGGCAATTTTGAAGAAAGGTTGAAACTGGTGAAGGATAAATTGAGCGAGGGACAAGATGATGGTGTAAATGACGCTAACGAGTTGCAATTTAGCCAACCTTTTGATCAAGCGTCGCAGAGCAATAATGAAATTGAACAACAACCTCTACCACAAGCTATACAGAGAGAAATTGCCAATTTCAATCTACAGCAACCACCACAACAGCAACAGCAATCAGAGCAAATACCACAACAGCAACAGCAACCACAACAAATACCACAACAAATACCACAACAGCAACAGCAAGCAGTACCAACACCGGCATCACAGCCCGACACGACAATCCCCAGAAAACGTCCTTCATGCTACGGCTTCGCAACTCAACCCCACTCCCTTGCCCAATCACCAATTTACGAAGACGACTTGTTTTCCACATTCCCACTCCAACAGTCCAAATCACATCCCATAGAGTCACAATTTGATTTCCCCATTGACAAGTCCAAAATAAAACAAGAAATCATTGATGATTTCCTCTTGAATAATATACCCACGTCTTCAAGCGCCAATTCTATTCCCAACTCATTATTCAACAAAAGCACCACCAAATTAAACAACAATTACAACCATTCAAGGAAATTCAACAATGACTTTTCATCATTCTTGAATACTACCGAAAACAGTTTATTGACTTCACCTTCATCAATACTAAGCTTGAATTCAATGAATAATGACGAAATCGATCCAGTTCCAAAGAGTAAAAAAGTTAAAGTTGAGAACGACAATGGTTACTACGGACAAGATGTAAATATATTGGCCATGGATAACAACAGCAACAACAACAACAGTAACAATGCTAATTGGCTTTCGCTTGATTTTTAGATGTTCCGCCAAAAACTTTCATATAGACAACCCTTAGACGATTGGTTTTATAGTTTTTAATGTATACACGAGAAACAAACATGACTTTAAATTAAGACACTTTGCATTGTGGCTCTGTAGCTAATGTCCCAGCGCTACCGTCAATTTACCGATTTTCGGATACGATAAAAAAAGTCAAACAGAATCATTTCACTTTTTGTTTCTCACTTATCTGATAACATGCACCACACTTTTTTTTTTTTCTTCTTCTTCTTCCACCTCCAGTGGGGTTTACCATTCCTTAAATATTCACAATGAACATACACAGATTCTCCAACCTCATCTCATTAAGGACAAGAGAGATCTCAAAGAAGATTCAAAAGGCTCTTAATGAGATAAGTGAGAATCTACAGCGCGAGTACCAACAAGCACAACATCAACGTCAACAAGGGTCACGGCCACGGCCACAGCAACGGCAACCGGCATATGCTCCAGTTCCTGTTCCTGTTCCCGCAGCTAGGTCTGGTAGGGCGAATCCATTTGTGCGCCAGTTTAGTACATCGGCACGTACATATTCATATAACCCAAACTGGTCGCGGGCAAATCCATCTTCATGGTTTCAAAAGTATAATCTTTTTGTGAGAAAAGTCACCAAATTTGGATCGAGATCAAGGATATTAACCACTTTGAACCATGGGTTTTTGTACCACAACTTTTCCCAAACTTATCAAAACCCATTCAGGTTGAAGATTTACCAACGTAACTTGAAGCAAACGTATCGTTTGTTATTTAACAACTTGCGCGAGAGATATCAAGTGTACAACAAAGGAACTGTTCCCAACGAGGGTCAAGTGTTGCAGAAGCTCAGATTGAATTTGTCCTTGACTCCAAGGAATCATCAAGTAATCACTGACTTGGCCAAGACAGAGTCATCGGCAACAAGACAAGAAAAGATCGAGTCGAATGTCCACTTTACCAGCTGCTTTATTGCATTTCCTTTAAACTTTAGTTTGAATATCCCTAATGAGACTATTTTATCAGAAGAAGTTGTTGATGAAATGTTGTACAATGTCAAACGATTCGAAACCAAGTTGAAAAATTTCAAGCAAGATCTTTGCAACTTGTTTGAATTGGGTGAGTTGCCAATGAAGTATGTGGACAACCTGGTCAGAGTCTACTTTCCCAATTGCGATAAAGAGAAATTGGAGAAGTTATGCCAGGAAAAGGGCATCGTTGGTGGTATTATTGTCGAAGAAGAGGTTAACGTGCCCACAACGGAAACAAGAGCTGAACCAGAGCAAATCGATCTCTTAAGCTCTTCAAACAGTTATGAAAGCTCCTACTCGAGTGATATCTTGACCTCTGACTCTAGTGAGTTGGACTATCACTTGACAGCACGTGTCATTAGACCTATTGATGAGGTCGTACCATTGCAACAAGTGATTAGTGTCAATGAAGATTATCATTGGGTCTAGCCTGTATAGCTCTTGTATAGATTGAAATTCACGTATATTTTTCATTTTCGGATCGTAGCGGGCACTCTGTCACAAAACGCTGATTACAACAAAAAAAATAAAATCAAAAAAAATAAGTTGGGGACACCATATCAATAAACACAACTAGAAAACAAGCGAGCCATGTCAGACGAAGAACAGTTCTACTCTGACCAAGAAGCATCTACCACGGTAGGCATTGATGCAGCTGCAGTTGAAGACGAGGATGACAAAACATTGAAAGATTCGCCACCACTACCTTCAAGGGAACCAATTCAATCATGTTTACATATAGACCAAGAGACAATAACCTCCGAAGCTGATCCCAATGCTATTTCTAAATTGGACGAAATACTGCACTCATACAACAAGTCAGCATCAAACTATCTCCTTCAATCGAAACACAAGATATTGTCAATCAAGTTTCATGACAAGAATAGCAGCACACAACGGTCGATCGAATCCGGAACACAAGACACACGAAGAACATTCAATCAGATAAAGAGTGCTGTGAGTGTTGCTGGTACCCAGTACAATATTGATTGGGATTTTTGGACATCAGTTGTTGAAAATTATGATGAGATTGTTGAAAAGGAGCCCGACCAGTTGAGCAATTCGATAAATCAAGGGATACCCAATGAAATCAGGGGTATAATTTGGCAAATCATTACCAAGTCAAAGGATTCAAACTTGGAGGACTTTTACCACTCGTTGAAACTAGAGGTTTCCGTCCATGAAAAGGCAATTAAGCGGGACTTGACCCGAACAAGCTTTTATACAAACATTGACGAGTTTGATAAAACTGACGCATTATTTAACGTGATCAAAGCGTATTCATTGTACGACCCCGATGTAGGATACACTCAGGGGATGATTTTCATTGCCGTGCCATTGATTATGAACATGTCTGAGAGTGAATGCTTTTGTCTACTAGTAATGCTTATGAAGGAGTACCAGTTGAGGGATTTGTTTTGCCCCGGAATGAAAGGGTTGCACTTGTTATTGTATGAATTTGACTGCTTGTTGGCAAGGTATTGCCCAGTGTTGTACAACCATCTAGTCAAACAAGGCATCAAGTCATCGATGTATGCTAGCCAATGGTTTCTCACATTTTTCGCTTACAAGTTCCCGCTTAATATAGTGTTGCGGATATACGATAGTATAATAACTCAAGGTATGGAGTCAATCTTAAAATTTGCCGTCAATTTAATGATTCAAAATGAGGATAACTTGCTAAATTTGAATTTTGACAAGTTGTTGCAATTTCTCAAGGACAAGATGTTTAATGTCTATGTGAGCCCCGAGTTTATTGACATTAAAGATGATGCAAGGTCAACCAAGCTCAAGCAATTTCTCACCAGAGGAAAGTCGTCTCAAGCGCCTCTTTCACACATTGGCCCTTTGTCATACTACAGATTGGACGATTTAGTGCTCGATTCAATGAAAATCAACATTGACCCTGTAGAGCTTGCCAAGTTTGAACTACATTTCAACAAGTACTATGACGATGAAAAGCTAAAGTTGAAGGATATCAGCCACATGAATAGTGAAAATGGCAAACTTCGTAAAACACTAAAGACGTTGGAGTTTCAATACGCAAATTTAAACCGTGACCATCTCGATATTGTACAAAAGATGGTTGATTTGAAAGTGACTTTGCCTGAAATTGTAAACGAAACCCAGGAGACACAAGAGAGCATTGCCAAGTTGAAAGAGGATATTGCCAGAGTAGAATCTAAAATGGGAGAAGAATCACCAGAAGTCATTATCCCAAGCTCTATCGAAGACCAAATCCAAAACTTATTGCAGATAAATCTAAAAGAGGTGGAGGCAACAGCTAACTTAGAGGATGAGTTGGCAACTTTGATGGAACAAGACCGTGAATTGGACCAACAGTTGAAGAACCTGCATAGAGGAAGCACATGGTTTAAATGGAATAAATAAATAAATGTATCTTGTCACGTGATCAAAAATACATGTAGGTCTATAACCCTCACCTCAACTCTATGCACTGAAGTAAAAGAAAAAAAAAAATAACCAAACCGAAATTTTTCATTGCATAGCACAACCACACCAAACGAATCATCAAACATGGGAAGAGGTCCAAAGAAACACTTGAAGAGATTAGCAGCTCCATCTCACTGGATGTTGGACAAATTGTCCGGTACCTACGCTCCAAAATCATCAGCTGGTCCACACAAATTGAGAGAATCATTACCATTGATTGTCTTTTTGAGAAACAGATTGAAGTATGCTCTTAACGGTAGGGAAGTCAAGGCTATCTTGATGCAACAACACGTTCAAGTTGACGGTAAAGTCAGAACCGACTCTACTTTCCCAGCTGGTTTCATGGATGTCATCACTTTGGAAGCCACCAATGAAAACTTTAGATTGATTTACGATGTCAAAGGTAGATTCGCTGTCCACAGAATCTCTGCTGAAGAAGCTACTTACAAATTGGGTAAAGTCAAGAAAGTCCAATTGGGTAAAAAGGGAGTCCCATACGTTGTCACCCACGACGGTAGAACCATCAGATACCCAGATCCATTGATTAAGGTCAACGACTCAGTCAAGATTGATTTGGCTACTGGAAAAATCACCGATTTCTTGAAATTCGACACTGGTAAATTGGTTATGGTTACCGGTGGTAGAAACTTGGGACGTATTGGTGTTATTGTACACAGAGAAAAACACGAAGGAGGTTTCGATTTGGTTCACATCAAGGATGCTTTGGAAAACACTTTCGTCACCAGATTGAACAACGTTTTCGTTATTGGTGAAGAACACGGTAAGCCATGGGTTTCATTGCCAAAGGGTAAAGGTATTAAGTTATCTATTACTGAAGAAAGAGACAGAAGAAGAGCTCAACAAGGTCTTATCGCTTAAGTAGATTCCTAATTTGTACATTATTCAAACTATAAAAGTTGTGTCCTTGGGCACATATGTAAATCTATAATCAAGGCTATTGATAACCTCTGGCGCATTGATGTTGCTGTCAATGACCAAATTTCCATTGACGCCAAACCATGACCCCCATATAGACCTTGACGTTTTGACAATGGAGTTTTCCTGTATCAAATCGGCAGACTCTCCCAATCTATTCTTTCCACCTTGGTCAAACTTGACTCTTGCTGCGAAATTGATGATGAATGTGTTGGTTCCTGGTATCAAATGGCAATCAAAACTGGTCAACTGGTGAGATGAATTGGGCATGCTCAACCACTTTTTCTGGAACTGTAGCTTGGCGTCCTCCACAGGCGTGGGTACAAGAGGTGTGCCATTGACAATTATAGCCGCATCTCGTTTTAAACTTGAGCCAAACTGAGTAGCATATGATTCGATATTGGTGTACGATTGACCCGCCGAGTTGTACTGAGCGTCCAAGGACGTTAAAAAGTTTTTGAGAAATGCATCTATTGGTTGCGCTGATGAAGTTAGTGATGATCGAATGGTGTTGATAAAGACATTAAAACATACTTATATCCTGGTTCATGGTTTGAGTTGTGGTCTTCTGTTGCCAAATGAGTTTTTCATAGAAGAAAAAAGAAAAAAAGATGGAATCGTAATGAGTCGTGCGTGTGTGGTTCTATACAGGATTTGGTGAGAACTATGTCGAAATTTGCCACATCAGTACACTTCTACAGCTAATAGAACAGCATAAGACTGTTATTAGAGCTATCACGAGGCTAGCATGAGCTACATATCCCCTATATGCCCCCGAGGCTCCTCGGTAGCCTCGAAAGATGACGTTTATGCACGTTATCCTAAATCACAATAAAATAGCAATCGATGTTTACCATGCAGGATTTTTGCTGCCAATTTCAAAATAGACTTGAAAACAAACGATGGTGTTGATAACAAACTATATAAAGGAGGTTATTTCCTCATGGTCCAACTTTGGTTGGTCCTATTCCACATCTAATCAGATACACAAACCACCTAAAGTATACATTATTCACAATGCCAAACAAAGAAGAAGTAAAAGGAATTGCATCATCAGTTGCTGGTTCAATTGTCGGTAACAAGGTTGCTGATAAGGCACATCTCGGTGGAACCGGTCACATCGCTGCTGGAATTCTAGGAGGAATTGGTGGTGGTGAAGCTGAACAAAAAGTAGAAGAGAAGAAGTAGTTAGTTTTAATGAATGGAATTACGATTGATAAATTGTTGTAGTCTCGAATATTTGTCTCATCTTTTGATTTTATACTGCTCAGAGAGTGCACATTTGTCCTACAGTAAAGCCTTTGATAATAATAAGGTAGCGCACTTTTCATTCAACCCATCACAATTTCAACTAGACCATTCCTAAGCAACCATGAGTACTGATAGGTTCTTTGTGTGCTCCACATGTCTTGGCCCAAACAAGTTCATCAAAATGGTGAGGCAAGAGAATGGAGAGGCTTGCAAACAGTGCACTCGACCTTTTACTGTATACCGATGGAGAAATGATGCAGCGTCATCACAACAAATTAAAACTGTCATATGTTATACTTGTTCTCGAGCCAAGAATGCTTGCCAGGTCTGTCTTTTGGATAAGGATTACCGGATACCGACAGATCTACGAGACACTGCTTTGAAAATGGCAGGCTTGGAGCTGGTTTCGCTACTAAAATCACTGACAAATAAAGAGGTGAAGGCAATAATGGCTGACAAATTGGAAAAGTCACTAGACCTGAATCAAAATAGCCAGAGAGCAAAGGAGCTATTATCAAGGTTAGCGGAAAAGGTCAACAATGGAGAAGTCACGTCTGCCTCCATTGCATCCGAAGTTAAACAAGACATCCCAATTTCCAAATTGATCAAGAACCTACCATTTGGAAACCTGTTGGAAGCTGTCAAGTATCCAAAACTCACTACGTTTTTCGTTTTTGGCTTCCCGTCGGATCTTCCTCAGTATTTGTTTTCTAAATATTGTTCAGAGTTCGGCAAAGTGCAGAGTCTTGTATTAAACCACGACTCTCGATGCGGCTTTGTTATATTCCAAGACCGGGTCTCTGCTGAGAGATTCGCAGAATCGGTGAATTCAAATGGATTGAATAAAAACAAGAAAACGGCAGGACTTTTAGAGCTAGATAACTATCCGATGAGGGTGTGTTTTGGCAAGCAGAAACCATTGGGAAGAACGAATGAAGATAAGAAGCAATTAAAAGCGGTCGTGAGTAAAGTGATGAGGCAATTAGCAGAGAAGGACCTGAAAGCTTGAACATGAAATAAGTATAGCTTTACGGAAATAGTCCCTTTGCAGTAAATAAACCTGCAATGTATTGCTCTTATTGTTACAAAACCTCATCTCTCTAAATGAATGTCTTCCTGAATACAACCAACGAAGTATACAAATAACAGCCTTTGAAAATGCTGTTACGCTTCAACTCTGATCAGAAAAATTTACGAGCGCAAAAAAAACCACCACTACCAAGAGGGTAAACAAACCCCAATGAAATTAGAGTCTTATTTCTGCGCTTTAGTCGTGGCTTTATCCACTCCCATCTTGATCATTCTTTTGAGACTCTTAATTGTTTCACCGTTCGTTCAATCACCCAAACACATAGGCAAAAAGAGATCAATCAAACACTTGACAGGCAAACATGTTTCGATATTTTTGGGCTCAGGCGGCCACACAGGGGAAATGATTAAGCTTCTATCCGGATTGGACATGAAAAATCTCAAGCGGACTTGGATATACTCATCAGGAGATAGGGCATCGCAACATCGTGCTCATTCGGAGGAACAACAAACTTACAACAACGACAATGGTCGATACATACTAATCCCAAGAGCTAGAGCGGTGGGACAGTCTTATATTTCGTCTATACCAACAACTTTATTTTCGATAATTGTATCCGCCATAAAACTAGCACGCCACTCTCCCGATGTGATTTTATTGAACGGTCCTGGCACATGCATTCCTATCGCCTACATGCTATTTCTGTTCAAATTGTTAGGTCTCAACCATACAAAGATCATCTATGTGGAGAGTTTAGCCAGAACCAAAAGATTGAGCCTCACCGGAAGACTAATAATGCCTATTTCAGATCGTTTTATTGTGCAGTGGGGTGCATTATACACTCAATATAGTCGTGCCGAATTTTACGGCATGCTAATGTAAAAGTGTTTCGCTACCCAATATTTGGGCCGCAAAAAAAATAAGAGAGATACTTTGCAACGCGTGGAAGACCACCCCCTATTGCAATCAAGAATGGCACTGGGAAGCACATTTGATGGTGAAATTCGAGAAATACCAGGCGTATATGTTGACAACTTCAGCTACAAAGGAGAGGTGTTCTTCCTCACCCATAGTCACCTGGATCATCTAAAGGGCCTATTGTCAAATTCGTTTTGCAGTCGCGTGTACTGTTCTCAATTGACCAAGGATATCATTGCGCTAGAAGGCCGATATGGTGACAAATTGCGGTACTTGCTGGTCAGGGAGTATAACCAGCCGTTTGAAGTGCAGACATTTTACCAGACAGTGACGGTGACGATGTTGGAGACATATCATTGTCCTGGGTCATCTATGTTTTTATTCGAATGTGCCAATGGCATCTCATGTCTAGCAACTGGCGACATAAGAGCAGAAGAGTGGTGGGTTTCCTCACTCATTAAGAATCGGTATTTGTTCCCATATATCACAGGGTTAAAGAAGCTCGACCAAATTTATCTTGACACCACTTTTTCATGTCGTGGAGAGCCATATATCTCAATAATGCCCAACAGTGAAGGAATCATGGCATTGATAGAGTTCCTAAAGCTTTACCCGATTGACAAATATATTGAATTTAGCTTTATTGACGCAGTATCAGGGTCGGAGGAGGTATGGCTCCAAGTACTCGATCATTTTAATGGTACACTTGATGCTGATTCAACAATAATTCAACGGCTAAAGTTGCTAAAGTATGAAGATAAGGACACGAGTCCAACGTTCATTGGCCCGATGATTTTCAATGTAGGAAATTTATACAAAGACGTCCCCCTTATGATTACGATTAAACATGCTATCGACTTTAATATAGTGGACTACGCAGGGTTTTGTCTACCAAAAAGACTTTGCGATGTCGATGCATCGAATCTCACCTTGCTTCGCATGCTAGACACGGGACATCAGGTCTATTCATACGAGGGGAATGCATGGCTTCTACCGTTGGATGGGGAAGAGCTACTACCCACAAACCTATTGCTTATGTTTTCTCGCCATTCATCCTACAAAGAGTCAATCGAGTTTGTAAGACTATTTAAGCCGAAGCTGGTTTTCCCGTGCGTCGCATCGAAAACCTCCTGGCTAAATGGATTCACAGTGGGTAGAGTTTTTGGCCATGTTTGCTCATCATCAGATCACTTGTTTGATGTTGAAAATTTCAAGAAATTCGGGCATCCACCACGCATAGTGTTTGAGCGTCCAGTATCAAAAATAAATCGTTGGTCGTTTGCCGAATGCAAAAAGGAAGTTAACTTTGTCAAGGACTTTATCACCAGGCCAAAGCCATTCAAGGGCCAGATGAAGTTGATAAACAGCCAGGATTACCATACAGCTCATGAGTCATGGTGTCAGGATTTCAAATTACAGTCAATTATAGCAGGTAGAGGCGAGGAAAAATATAAACGAATCATCAATTATCATTTAAATAAGGACCTAAATCTAATTGTTTCCACCGTGCAGGGCCAACGCAATCACAAATTTGGGCCAGACACAGATACTGAGTCAGTATGCTCCACCGATTATGACACGGATACCCTGATGTCAACTGAAAACTCCGTGGTTGCTTCCAGTTGTGTATTTGAAAAGTCCTTTTCAGAAGCCCAACCAACGCCTGCTTGTAACTTTCTATCACCTGGGCTAAATCTTCATAAAATTGCTGAAATATCAGACGCCATTCGTTCAGATAGGAGATCCTGGAACTCCTTTAAGCTCAAATCGGTCAAACCCAAAACACGTCGATAGAGTATAATCCACTAATTTTCTTTCCACCTGTGTCCACACTTGACACATTTGTAGAACGTAGTCATTGGTTCATCTGCACTTCTAATTTGTAGTTGGAAAAAGTAGGCTTTGTCTCCACCGCAGGAGTCAATAGGACACTGGGCGGCTGTTTGGTCAACATTGTCCCATGTGCCCTCTCCACCTAAAACATCATCAACCTCTTTTCGATGCAATTTTTTACGATCGTACATCAGCAAGCCAGAAATTTTAAACTCATACGGGCAAGTCGAGCAATAGAATCGGTTGTTATTGTCATCACCGGGTGATATCATAAGCATATTAGAACAGTTAGGGCAGAACGTTAGCATCTTGATGAGATAATGATGAGATGTCTTTTGGCCATGAGAAATTTCAAAATCAAAGGAAAAAGAGAACAGAAAAACAGAAAAACAGAAAAGAACGCACTCCAAGTCCCTTGTTAATACCTACTCAATTATCTATATTCAATGTCACATGTACAAAATGGCACTCCTACGAGATCCCCGTCAAAGAGAAAAGAAATAATTGATTCATTGGCTACGGCTAGTAGGATTCCCATCCTCTCGCCGGTGAAAACTCCGAACGGACGTGCAGGGTTACGATCCCCAGAAAAGAGGACTAATGCAGACTTGGACAAGTCCGCGAGAAAAAAGGCACATCAAACCTTGTACGATAAATTGATGAATGACGAGCTAGATTCGGATGACTTTCTTGATAAGCAGGATAGGAAATTGGCCGAGAATATTATACGACTGTCGCGAAATGAACCTGCAAATGAAGATGCTGACGCAGATAGGAATTATGGCAGTGATGTAGAGCTAGAGCTTGACTTGACTGCTGTGTCTAAAAAGGGAAGGCGGATTAAAAGAAGATACAGCGAAAAGGACTTTGATGATGAGCATGAAGTCATGTCTGACTCAGAAGTTCTGGAAGAAAGTCTTGGTGATAGTGATAGCGAATCTGAAGACTCTGCATCAAAACAATTTTCATCACTATCCAAGAGGTTGGGTGCACATACATACAAAACAAGAACACAAAAAGATTCAAATGGAAAGAGGAGAAGGATAGGAAGCCAAGGTGTCGCAGAAAAAGTCAAAAGTATTTTCCACCAAGATGATGAACTCTTCGATCAAGACTCTGCCGCTGATTTCGAACTGCCGCCTCCAGTGGTGCCAAACGTGCCCAAAAAGTCATTTGCCAATTTGTTAATCAGTCAATACTCGGATAGAACTAGAGTACCCATTGTCAGCGGAATTAATGCCAAAGATAATGATCGATCGAGACAACCAGAAAAGTTTGAACCCTTGCCAGTTCCCGATTTAGATGCCGAGGGGCATATAAGAGACGATTCGTACCTAGAAAAGTATTTCAATGGAAAAGACCCCTCCAGGGTTAACCAAGAAAGATTGTTGGACGAAAAAGTGTTTTCCATGGAAGGGCCAGAAGGTTATTTTGAACAGCTTCACAGGAGGTTTAGAGTAAACGCAAAGTCTCTAATTGCAGTTGCTCCTCATGTCAGCGAAAGGGAATTTGATAGGGCAATCCACTTGAGTGAAAAGATAAGCGAAAATCAAAAGAGGAAGCTCTTTGATTTGCATAAGCTATTATTCAACCAGTGGTGCTTCGAGTTGAGTCAAAGTTACAATTTGATGTTTTACGGTGTAGGATCGAAGTTGAAGGTGCTCAACGATTTTGCTGAAAACTATTTTGGTGGTTGGTGGGATGATATTTTTGGCGGTGTACCGCCCAGGGCCTTAGTGGTTAATGGGTACAATCCCAATGTTGACTTCAAGGCAATCGCGCTACAAGTGGCGTCGGTCATTCTACCTGGAGAAGAAAGCATATTTCCCAAGCATGTTTCGGAAACTGTGCCGTTTCTAGTAGATCAGATGGAGAGAAGAAGGAAACTGTTACCTACTGGCAAAATACTAAAACCCAAGTTGTTGATGGTGGTGCATAACTTAGATGGAGAGGCGTTTAGAACAGACAAGATTCAGGGGTTGTTTGCTCAGTTGATGAGTATTCCCGAAATTTGGGTAGTATCGTCCATCGACCACATCAACGCTCCCCTTCTTTGGGACCTGTCAAAGTCAAAAAGCATGAATTTGATTTGGCATGACTTGACAACTTACCATACTTACTCCATCGAGACATCATTCAAGGACGTGTTGAGCATGGGTAAATCAAAGCAGTATATTGGCAGTCTAGGAGCTAAGTTTGTCTTGAGATCCTTAACTGATAATCACCGCCACTTGTACAAGATCTTACTCGCAGATCAGTTAAGCAATATGGAAGATGCTGCCTCCTCAAAGGGCTTGGGATTGAAAGGGTCGGTTAAATTTGGAGTAGATTTGAAATCTTTGTACCATCAGTGCTTGGATGAATTCATCGTGTCGAATGAAGTCACATTCAGAACATTTCTAAAAGAGTATGTTGACCATAAAATGTGTCAGCTAGTCAAAGATTCGTCAGGTTTGGAGAAAACGTTTATTCCTTTCACGTTTGGTGAGATACACGAACTACAAAAACGAGAGTTTGATTAATAGATGTTGTACGGTGTGCATTTTCCTCTCATTGTAGGAGATTCGAACAGCCTGGCTATTATGTGCCACTCTTTTGATTTTTTCTATTTAAAGTAAACCCTCTCTTTTAGTCCCGCACAAATTTTAAATTCTTTTGTGCCGGAATCTAAAATTAAAACCTCAGATTCAACGGTTCGGCCAAATCAATCAAACACCAAGTGGGCCACTTCATTCAAGTGCAAGCAATCGATCCAGTAATAATTATAAATGAACGTGGCAAGTGTACCCAAGCTTCCCACCGGAAGTAAGTTGCAAGTGGGCAAACACCAAGTTTCCATCGTCAAGTACATATCGGAGGGCGGTTTTGCTCAAATTTATGAAGTCCTTATTGACTACCCCGAAAACGAATCACAAACGGCTTGCTTGAAAAGAGTTATAGTCCCTGATAAGAATGGCTTGGATCAATTGAGAAAAGAGGTTGAAGTCATGAAGTGTTTACGAAGTGCTCGAAGCATTGTATCTTATTACGACTCTCATGCCGCAAGACTAGACAATGTCAACTACCAGGTCTTGGTTCTTATGGAGCTTTGTCCTGGAGGGTCCTTGCTAGATTTTATGAACGCCAGGATCAAGGTTAAGTTGAATGAAGGGGAGATCCTCAAAATCATGTTGGACGTTTGCCAGGGTGTTTACGAAATGCACAGGGCCAAATTGATTCACCGGGACATCAAAATTGAAAACGTTTTGATTAATAAACAAGGGAGTTTTAAATTGTGCGATTTCGGATCTACATCAGTTCCTATTTCTCCTCCACAGGATCAGCAGCAATTCAAATTTATAAGCCACGATATCCTTTATCATACTACGCCTCAGTATCGTTCCCCGGAAATGGTTGATCTTTACCGAGCAAAACCAATTGATGAAAAGGCTGACATCTGGGCTCTTGGATGTTTTCTTTTCAAGTTGTGCTACTACACCACACCTTTTGAAGCTAATGGGGATATAGCACTTTTGCACGCATCATTTCAGTTTCCTCCATCACCTCAGTATTCCGGCGACTTGAAGAATTTGGTGATAATCATGCTTCAGGAGAATCCGTTGTATCGTCCAAATATCGTGCAAGTGTTGATGCTCATTTGTAAATTGTCCAGCATCAAGTTTGAAGCACTTGGATTGAAAGATTTTTATAACCTAGGACCATACAGTTTTGAGGCATTGCAAGAGTATCAGCTTCAAAAGCAAAATCAAGCATTGCAGGAAAAGCAATTGTACATTCAGCAACAACGCATGATGGATCCTATTGAAGCCCACAATCCACTTTTACCTCAAGTTCAACCAGTCAACAATGAGCCAGCGCCGCCAGCACAAAAGAAGAACCCACAAACAGCCAAGCTGGATGAGAATGCAACAGAACCGATAGAGGAGTCTGATGAAAAATCTAATCGTAGAACAGCCACTGATAACAAAGCTAATCCAGAAGTGGTGACATCGCCAAGCTCCACTATGGGGTTCAGTCTGGATGAGAGCGATGGACTTTCAGAACTAGAGCAACTTGATGATGCAGAAGAGAGGTACCCTTCTTTGGAACATATTGACATTTTGGATAAAGCAAACAGTGTATCCTCGAAGGTGTCAAAGGCATCGAGTACTTCTAAATCGGGAGAGCCAGTAGCAGAGTCCGCAACGAAAGTCAAGAGTAACTTACCGCCTAAAATTGAAACCGATACAGAGAAACTAGCAGATGATATATTTGCCAAGAGCAATTCTTCAAACACCCACAACGACGGTTTTTCACTAAGCCAACCACGCGGTGTAGATTCATCAGATACAAAAAGTGGTTACATTTCAGACCCGGCAGGGCGATATACAAGCAGCTATCCTGAGAATAATAATAGCATCATGACTTCCAATACAGGAACCGACTCTCATCTGATTCCTAGGCCCGTCAATTTTACGTCATCAAAGTCTGCAAACTTTATCAACCCCGATGCGCACAAGAACAACAATCCATGGGTCGGAAAAGAAACAAAGAGTGCAGCTCCTGCAGACAGTAACTATCATTCCCTGGCATCTTACTCAAAGGCACCTTGGGTGGATCAACCTACTCTTTCCGAGAAAGGGGCAAATTCCCCAGAGGATGCTCGATCGCCCAATTTATCCTCAAGGCCACAATTTGCTTATCCTAATGCCTCGCAGAACGTAGCTTCTGATTTATCCAATTACAAACCACAGCGGGAGAGAAACTTGATTGACCTTGAAGTTGGTCTCCCTTCTTCCAATTCATCCTCGACCGAATTGGGCTTGAACAACCAGATGCGGTCTAGCCAGAAGAATGAGTCCAATTTATCTCTAATTGATTTGAACATCAACGATGAGAAACAAGAGAAGCAGTTCGAGCATAAGCAGCAAACCACTCTGAAGTCTGAAAAGCCGGTATTCAAAAAACGAATTCCATCTTCTTCAAACCATTCCCAATTGTTTTTACAAGAGGAGGTTATTGATTTCGCATCGGATGATGAGAATATCGACAACGGATCCGATATGAGCAGACTCAAGATTAGAAATTCATTAAAGAAGCCAAAAGGGCGCAAGTCGGGGGAGCTTAAAAGGCCTGATAGTTTACAAGAATCCAAGAAACGTCATTCATTCTTTGGTGGCTCATAGTTGTTATAGATTTAATACGTGATAGAGTTGTATCGTAGTGCAATCGTAGATCATTTTCGCATCACATCATCGAAAGGGGAAAAGAAAGAAAAAAAAAATTAGATGCCTGGGCCCAGGAGTTAACCCACCAAGATGGAATCACTTAAAGCGACCTTGTCCCAACTTGTATTGTTGGTTCCACCAGAATCATTTCAATTGGGAGATGATGAAAGGGTGAATAAGCTCACACAAGCTATTTTGGAAGCCCGTTATGTCGAAATTTTAGAAATCAGTGATTTCAAGGAGATTGCCTGTCTTCCGGTAGCCCAAAGCACTCTTCATCAATATGGAGAATTGCCATTGATTGATGTTCTTAGGAACTTCACTCAAGCGTTAATTGACTCAAGCAAGCAGCTTGTTGGCAAGGATGGTGTCATCGATGCACATATATACGCCATCACATTTTTGCAACTTTTCATACAATCTAACTTCACTGGACCACCAATTAAGATGAGTGCTCATTCACTACTTTTCCCTATTGCTGATGAGCAGAAACTACAATCAGATGCCATCAATGTGCTTAGTGTGGAAGGACAATCGGCGTATGATTTAATGCAGGACCCCGTTTATTTAATTCTTGCCGAATTGATGTTTGAGGCATTAACTGACACTCCCGTTGAAGCTTCAATATTTTCCAAAGATGTGGCGCAACAAACAAAGCAAGTTCTTGATCACACGGAAAAGATTTGCCAGCAAATTGATGATCCTGTCAAGGCGTCGATTACGTGGTGGAAAGCAAGGACTCTACAAGTGCATTCATCAGTTTTATCAGAACCTCTGGGTATTATACTGTCTGTTTGTGGATTATTGTTGGGAACCAATTTGCTAACACATCTTGTTCCTTCAAAGGACTCACCCTCTGGTGTTCAAATGTTGAGTCAAGTGCAATTTGTTCTTGAACAAGCGAGAGTTTATATCCATGCGCAAACGGAGCACGCTTCAATAGCCCCATTGAACAAGGTTATTAATATCACCGGCTTACAGCTACTCCTCTCAGGAGCCAAAGCAAAAAGAACCAAGTTTCAAAAATTCCTTACATCCAACTTGATTGTCTTGGCCAAAAGCAGACAAAATACATTGTATGATGTTAATTTTAATGATGACGCTAATTTGGAAAACTACAAGCTCGATTCTGACCTTTTACTAGAAAGACCGCAATTTGAGTCCTTGGAGAATTTAGATTTGGAAACTGAGAATGAATCAAAGAGAATAAAATTGGACCCCAAAGCTGTCATTGACGAGCTCGCTGAAAATAGGCTCCTCCCATTAGCAATGACTGTTGAAGATATACCGGAAGATTTGAGAGCTCTTGATCCAAATAACCAGCCTGTTTTGGGCAACGTGGACATTCTTCAAATACTTCTAAGGTTGACAGTAATTAGACAAACGACCCCTTCGAATGATGCTTTGGTCGAAGACGAGTTGTTGGCATTGGTGGCACGAATAATCTATTCAGACTCCGAGAGTGGAAACTGGCTTTTGTACTCGAGAGCCCTTTGGGAGAGATCTCTTTTAGAAACAGGAAAATCCAGGACTGTAGAGAGGGGTATTCTACAGATGACGTCATTGATTGAGGAAATTGGGATCAAAATTAGTACACGCCTTTTGCCACAAGCTGAAGAGAGCGACCCAAATACAGTGGCGTCACTGAGACTAAGGTTTATTCACCAATTGCCTTTGTTACCGCAATGGGCCTTGGATGCCAAACTTGCCGAAAAGTACATGTCACTAGGTGTTATCAAGTCGGCCCTTGAAATTTACGAAAGGCTCCATTTGGAAAGCGAGGCAGCTTTGTGCTATGCTGCTATTGGCCATGAGCAAGATGCAGAAAAGATTTTATTTTCAAGAATCAGGGAGCACCCCAAGGATGCGAGAGCCATATCCATTTTGGGAGATCTTAAACAGGATCCGCAATTGTGGGAGAAGGCCTGGCAGGTAGGACACTACGCCAAAGCAAAAGCTTCTTTGTCGAGATACTACTATTCTCCTCCGCCTGGCTCTGGTCTTTCCAAAAACTTGGAATTGGCCATATCGCATATGTATGATTGTTTGCATGTCAACCCATTGAACTACGAAAATTGGTTCTTTTATGGGTGCTGTGGTTTGGAGTCTGGACAATTTGAACTTGCTTCGGAGGCCTTTACAAGGTGTGTATCATTAGACGACAGCAACACGTATGCGTGGTCTAATTTGGCTTCAGCCCTTTTGAAGCTTGACAAGGTAAAGCCCGCATTTAATGCTTTAAAGAAAGCTGTTAGATCCGGTGGTGACAGAAAATCGTGGAAAGTGTATGAAAATTATATGAATGTTGCCATGCAGCTCAACGAATGGAATGATGTATTGATCGCTTACCGTGAGCTCCTTTCTATTAGAAAAGACGAGGGAGATAGTGTGATTGACATACCCGTATTGGAGAAGCTAAGTGAGATTCTTATCACGTCTGAGTTTTCAGAAAGTGGGCAAACGTTGAGTCACTTTCAAAGATCTTGTATTCAACTTATTTGTGAAACCTTGCCGACCTTAATCACATCTTCAGCTCGCTGTTGGAGAATCGTGGCCCGAGTTGAACTTTGGAGGAAACGGCCTTGGGCAGCATTAGATTGCCATGAAAAGGCATACAGGGCTTTGCTTCACAACCCAGAAATAGAGGTTAATGAAGAAGTGTGGAATGAAGTAGTTGATGCATGTGCAGATTTGGTAGGTGCCTTTGAGTCGTTGGGAGAGTTACCCGGAAAACACGGCGCTGGTGATGTGGTCTGTAACGACTGGAAGTACAAAGCCAGAACAACGGTGAGATCTTTGTTGTCCAAGGGTAAGGATATTTGGGAAGACACGCAAGGATGGGAGACTTTACAAACGTTGAAGGAGGATTTAAGAAACTAGATTGTTAATAGAATATATAAAAGGTTTACTTTGCGTCGCTAATGATGCTATAGCAATCGAACCCTAAAGACGTGGATCTGATGTCAGCACTTTGGGGTCCAGTGCTGACTTCCTCGATGCGATTGAGCTTCTTGTAGCAAAACTGGATAACTCTTACTACCCATTTCAATGACTTGTTTGTTGACCCTGTTTCCTCAATCCTCAACAAATACATCAAGGTATAACAAATAGCCCTGTTAAATTGAAGTGCCTTGAACGATTCGTACCAAAATAAGACTAAAACCACATTTTCCAAGATACATAGCCCAAAGTTTGCGATTCTAATGACTGCACGTTTCTTTGAGCCATATGTTTCAAGTAGATTCAAACTAGCGTAGTAGACTAAAAGGCCTATTTTGCAGCAGTTGGTCCTTGAATCAATCATTACACAAGTGAATATAAATATCCCAGTGTTCTCCCTTTTCAAAAATCTAAGGATTGGTTTCTCATCTATTCTGAATCGAGGGTTGGATACTAACCGCACCAACGACCTTGTCGATCCTCTGATAAGGGACCTTTTCAACTGTAACAACAAAATAAAGCCGAAATGAGCTAATGAAACAACCATTATCGTGTAATATGCATCCAAAATCTTGTCACTTGATTTTACCCGTAGGTACACCCAGATGAAGCCAGTCGATATCACTGAAACATTACAAATAAGTCGAAAGTCCTCCAAAGAGCCATCTTTCCAAAGCAAGAACCACGTTTTTTGGTTGTTGACCATGATATGAGTCCATAATCTGGATATCAAGAACCAATAGAATGTATAGACTTGGTTGCAATAGTCATTAAATGAGAAATACAAGCATCTGCAGTATCCAAACCAAGGAGTCGTTGAAATAGAAGTTATGTTTTGAAAAGTGAAGCTGAGGGGTGCCATGCTAACAGGGAGGTGTGCGGTGTAGTTCAGTCCTACAAGTAATTAACAAAGATGACTGTGTAGTTTGTAATTTTCAAGTAAATTATCAGGGGAATTACATTTAATCAAATTTTTTTGTGAATACACATATCTTTTGCAGCCAACCACTCTAATAGGGGGAAACCTTTACACGATATATCAAGCACTGTTCTACATATGGGCTACATCAAAACACAGAGATGACTCTAGGGACAACAAAGGTTCATGAGTGTATATTATCTATCTACTGTTCCCATTTCACACATCAAGATGATTCTTCCTCTAAAACCTTTACCAACACATACCAAAAAAAAAATAAGTAACGAGATCAAAAAAAGAAAAACGGAAAAAAATAAAAAAAGAAAAAATAAAAAAATCAACAAATCAACTCCGCCTTGAACTTAAACACAAAAAGTTGACACATAGCCAATAGAAATTTTCAACAACAACAACAACAACAACAACAACAACAACAACAACAACAACAACAACAACAACAACAACAACAACAACAACAACAACAACAACAACAGCAGAAACATCCTTCATTAGATTTCAAAAGGGACACATTCATTTATTTTTTTAAAAAAAAATTACATCGCTATCAATGCCCATGGACGATAAATATATAGGACTCGCCTTGGCGATGTCCTCCTCGCTAGCAATAGGTACATCATTCATTATTACAAAGAAGGGGCTTATGGACGCGTCAGCACGTAGCAGACTGGCAAATAGCGGCACTGGTACCGTACAGGCCACTGACTATTTACAGAATCCAATATGGTGGGGTGGTATGATCACTATGGCGATTGGAGAGATTGCCAACTTTGCCGCATACACTTTTGCCCCGGCTATCTTGGTTACTCCATTGGGGGCATTGTCAGTCATTATAGGGGCCGTGTTGGCGGCAATATTCTTGAAGGAAGAATTGGGAACATTGGGAAAGATGGGATGTGCCATCTGTTTGATGGGCTCAGTTATAATTATCTTGCACGCACCACCGGATAAGGAGGTTCAAACGGTGGATGAAATTTTGGGCTATGCTACGCAACCCGGGTTTCTATTCTATTGTTGTGCTGTGGGGCTCTACTCTTTGTTCATGATCTACAAGATAGTGCCCAAGTATGGAAACACCAATCCAATGATTTACTTGTCTATATGTTCCTCCGTGGGATCCATATCTGTGATGTCCATCAAGGCATTTGGAATTGCGTTGAAATTGACTTTAGGCGGTAACAACCAGTTCACCCATGTATCCACCTATTTGTTCTTGATTGTGGTTGCATTGTGTATCATCACACAAATGAATTATTTCAACAAAGCGTTGGATCAATTCGACACATCTATTGTCAACCCCTTGTATTACGTTACATTCACCACTTTTACTTTGGCTGCCTCATTCATTTTGTTTAGAGGGTTCAACACATCATCTGCTGTCGACATCATCTCCTTGTTGATTGGGTTCCTTATCATTTTCAGTGGGGTGTATTTGCTCAATATTGCAAGGAAAGACGACGGTGGACACAATCGTGAAATATTTGGTGTTCATAGCTCAAAAGACATGGCGCCATTGGACAATGGCGTGGGTGGGTTTTCAACTGTTCGCAGATCGATGCAAGTAAATAGGTCTATGGATTATGATGAAGAGGAGAGGGTGGCACTAAGAAGAATAGACAGCTTCGAAATTGAGAGCGATGGAGATGATACAAGAACTCATAGACATTAAATAGAAATAACAAAAATATAGGTTAGGGAGGTTGTGGGATATGTTTATTAGCTCTATGTACTTAGGGGGCCTCCTCTGACCATACTGTGATCACTAGGATCCTTCTCCCTTTAAATATCATCAATATCTAACTCCTCATCTTCTGATTCACTATCGTCAGCACCACCGAATTCGAAGTTCACATCTTCATCGTCGTCAGCACCAAATGTATCAGTTTCATTGATCTTGGCATTTTCGGGCAATTCACCCAATTGTTTCAACGACCTAGCCTCATCAGAGTTATATTTATGTACAACATCACATTGGTCGTCTTGGAAATCTCTCAAACTGACCAAGATTATATCACCTTGTCCCATCCACACCTTCTTTCTCATTTTACCCCTGATGTGTCCCATCCTCTTGTTGCCATCGAAACATTGAACTTCGATTCTTCCATTACCCAACATTTTTGTGATTTGAGCGTACTCTTGTCCTTCCTCCTTTAATATTAATTCTCTCTTTTGACCACTGTTGTCATTCTTTCCTCTTCTTCTGTTTTTACCTCCTTTACCTTTTCCTGATTTACCCATTTTTTTTTGGTTAAAGTTGTATGATAAGGTCAACTAGAGTTTAATTGAAATTTTTTTTTTTATTTTTCTTCTTTTTCTTTTTTTTCTTTTTGCTTTTGCCTTTTTAACTCTTCACATAAATTTTGCAACGACACGAAAGTGACGTATTTCAGGAAAAGGCGACATCAAAGGAAAAAAGCTTTTGAAGAGTAATCAAACCACACCAGTATTGTTCCACGATGGATTCGTTTGAAGTAGCTAGTCAGTTCTCAACTATACTACGAAACCTAACACCGCAGCAGCAACAACTATCAAAAGCTATCTACTTTGCTTTGAAAAATGCCGATAAAGAAGATTACATTGTGCCTACTTTATTGAGTGTTTTGGAGGACCCCAAGTTAGATTTGAATTTAAAGTCATTTATTTTTCAATTTATTGACCTTTTGATGCAAGAGAGCTTTAACAACCTGAGATACAATAATGCTTATATCCAAAGCTTGAAGAGCAAGTTGCCACAAATCGTGGAACTGGTGTGTCCCTTGAATAACTCATCTAATTTAATGGTTGCATACACATGTCTATGCCATATACTGACAAGGTTTAAAGTTGATTGCGAACACTACAAAGCGGATTTCCAAACAAGCTCACTTGATGATCTTGTAAATAAGTCACTAGATGTTGATAGTAGTGAAGATACATTGGTGTCAGCGTGGAAGATTTTGTTACAACGCTCGAGAGCTAGTAAAAAGGACCGCAAGAAGCTTCTCGAAGAGGATAGCGTTACCAAAGAGAATATGGAAGAGGACCAAATATTCAATATTAGAAAGAAAAACGACCCAAATACCCAGTATCTAACAAAGAAGCAGATCATTACAAGGATCGAAGATGACCGAGAAACGCATAAACGATTAAAAGAAAACAAATGGTGTGTCAATCGTGATAAAGGCGCCAAGTTTATTACTGAGAATGAATTTATCAACAATTACTGGAACAAATGTCACCCTTTGACATCGGAAGAAAATGCTGAGTTTTTAGCAAATCTCAAAGAGTTAAATGGCATGGTATTGCTGAGCTATAAGGACAAACAGTTTTAATATCTAATCTAATCTAAATCTAGAATGTGGACTAGGTGCTGCCTGCCTATTTTTTTAATGCCCAAGAATCATTGATACTCTGCAAACAATTTGTAACCCAATGCTTAGAGTTTTGAGTCAAAACGAAATGATGACAGTTTTCCCATCTCTTTTTCTTTTCCTCTTTGGACATGGTCAACAGCTGGTAAAACGTTTCAGAAAATTTTTTTAAATCCCAGGGGTTGATCAAAAGTGCACCCTCTCCATCACAGTAAAGTAAAGATGCGGATCCAGTAAATTCTGACAAGATTAATGGCGACTTTTTCTCAGCGGTGGCAGTAATAAACTCATGGCATGTCAAATTCAATCCTTCACGCATAGAGCTCACAACAAACAGCTCTGCCTCGCATTGCAACGCCAAATACTGGTCAAATTCAATATCCTTTTGTAGCAAAACCACTGGTTGGATGACAGAAATGTTTTCTGGCAAAGAGTTTATCCTTGAAATAATCTTCATCACCTCCAGTTCATACAGTGGATCCGAACCTGAGCCAATGCAAATCTGGATCAAGATAGTGTTGTTGATGAATTCTGGGTGCTGAGTAAGGAACTTTTCATATGCAAGAAGTTTTTGCTTGATGCCTCTGAGCTTGTCCAACTTGTCTCTACTGATGATGAGTTTCTGTTCACCCCATCTCTCTCTAATCAAACGTCTCCACTCTAGAACCAGCTCGCTATGGACTTTCTTTTCAAGTGATGGGGCATCAATACCAACGGGTATCGTATTAACGACAACTGATCTATCTTTATAGACCACTGTATTATCAGCCACTTCAGCATCAAGGATCTTGTTGCAAGTCTGCTTGAAATGGCGAACATATTCATTTGTTTGAAACGAGATACAATCAGCACCCAACATTCCTTCTAATAGCTCAGTTCTTTGAGCCAAACAACGAAATACTTCAGACGATGGGAAAGATACATGCAAAAACAATCCAATTTTAGCTTTTGGCAACTTTTCTCTAACCATTCTGGGAACCAACAATAAATGGTAGTCATGCACCCAAATCACGTTTTCGGAATCATCAAAATTGCAATCTCCGTTTGTTTCCACATATGTTTCAACTAATTTATCGGCAATCAATTGATTCATCAAGACATAATGTCCCCAAGAGTGGTCCTCAAATGCTTTAGACTTGGGATCATCTGGTATTTGGTAGTGCAATGTGGGCCACAAAATTTGTTTACAAAAGGACTTGTAGTGGCCCTCGAAGGTAATGTCGTCGGGAAAGACAGCTTCGCAATTATACTCCGAATCTAATTTCGACGCAATGTCTTGTCTAATTTTGGCTGAAATTGTATCACTAGGCATGGCAATTATCCCGACCCATTTGTTTTGTTGTAAGATTCCTTCCTTCACAGATAGATCTATAGCCTTATTCAATGATCCATTACCACTATCTGATGGAACTACCGACCACGGAGCGGTATTGAATATGTCATCGTCCCAAAAGTACTTTTCAATATTTGGCTTTGAAAACCCACCATAGGGAGCTAATCCTTTATTGTGGGACACAGAGTTGTTGTAATTTTTTTCAAACCCAACCAAGCCATCTTCATCTTCATCCTCAAACGATGACGGAATCATTGCCGAATCATTGACTCCAGCTGGCGAGTCTTCCGATACCAATGAGTTTAAACTGTTGTTTCCCTGAATAGTGAAGCCGTAGTACTGGTTCGGTCTCTGTCCCAGAGTTACTTCATTGTGCAACTTTGAATGTGATCCGGCTCTGGTATTCTGAGGTCTTGCCAAGTTTGGTGCTGAAATGGACAAGTTTGTCAGAGATCTGTTAATTTTCAATCCTGTCGAGTTGTATGGATTAGTTTGCTTTTTTGGGTCAAGTATTGAACTTTCAATTTTGTTGCCCACACGAGGTCTAGGTTGAATGTAGTGAAGCGCAGGTGACACTGGGTTAGAGTTTGTAGAGCCTTCGCGTTGCAATCTTGGATTGCGCTTATTGTAAAAGAACTCGTCCGGTGTCTCTGACCGAGTTGATGTATTGCTCACATTGGCAGGATGCAAGATGGAAACTGAGGACAGGTTATTTAATAGGTGCTGCTGTGATGCGTTGAGTGATTGTTGGATTGGAGCTTCATCGGGCCCCCCTGAAATACTAATTGTCTCAAGCTTTGCACTATCTTCCTTCTGCAAGAACTCGTAATGATTCTTGTCAATTTCAAAGTGGACGGTGTATGGGAGAAATCTGGATAGTTAGTAGTCTGAATCGAAAATAGATCTATGATGAGAATACATACAATGATCCAACTATAACAGTCATGGTGAATTGATTTGCGAAGAAGAGAACGTGTGTTAGTTTTCACACTGGCTTGCTGCGGTATTTTATATTATAAATATTTATAGGCATTGCACAAAACCCTATTGAAGAGCAAACTAAAGAAATAGAAAAGTATTCAGTACCAACTTGTATTATTACAATTAAATACCTCGTGGCTGAAACATTGCTATATCAGTTACATGAGCATCAATGTACTACACTCAATGCCTACACAAAATAAAGAAAACCATGCAAACTTCAACTTGAATTACTTTACCCCATTATTTCACATCGAGGTTGAACTGCCCCGAAAACGTTCTTGTGTTTATTCTGTTGGGTAGATTTATAGCAACTGAAGGGGTATTTCCCAACTATCCGTGGTTAAGGGTTAAGCAGCTAGGGTAACTAGAATTCCTCTATTATGTCACTATCGAGATCACTACTATCGGAAGCATCCTTATTCTGAAAATTAAACTGTATCTCGTTCTGTTCTCGAAACTCTCTCTCCTGTTTCTCCTTTAACTCCTTCTGTGCTGCCAACTCTTTTTGTCTCCTCTCCTCCGATGCTCTTATCGAAGCAATGACCTTTTTAAACTCGTCATTTAAAATGTCTTTAAAATATTTATCAGTTTCTGTTGTTGGGTCTCTTGTTGCATATGGGCTGTAATAAAGCTCTGCCTTCATGAATATGTCGGCATCTCTTTTTTGTTGTTGTTCCTCGAGTTTTGACTGCTTTCGAAGTTGTAAGTCTTTCCGTTGTTGGGCATATTTTATGAAATCAAACTTATTGGTTGTATCATATGGAACAGCGGCCGATGATGCGGTATCTGTCACGTCAGCAGCCTTTGTTTCCTCTTTTTCATCTATCCTTGTCTCTCCTTCATCATTGAGACGCGCGACGCTCTCACTCTTCATCAACTGGTCCAATTCATTTTCAAATTGAGCTTTCAACTTCAACTCGCTCTCATCGCTTTCAATCAACTTGTACAAGGATTCCTCTGTAAGTCTTGATTCTTGAACCAATTTCATTCGAAGCTGCTTGAGGTCAGTCAATGGTTGCGAGTATGTGGGCGTTGACTGGTAGGTGTAATCGGGAGGTAAATCCGGCAAGTACGAAGGGATGTAGCTGGGTTTCGTTCTGATATTGGGTACAACTTCCGTTATTTCATATTGCTCGTTCGACGATCTCTCGTTGTCTACGGGCTCTTCATTACTGTCCGAGATGACGGCCAGTATCTGTTGTCTGTGAGAAGCTGGAAAGCTTCTGCTGTACTGTATTTGCTCTGCTAAATCACTTGGCCTGATTTCATTCTCTTTTAACACAAGCTTGATATCTGAAAGCACTGGTTTTCGTCGACGCTGTAATTGTGTGTAATCGAGCAAGCTGCCCAAAAGGTGGTTCATGTATTCAATAACTAATTCATACATCTGGCTCAAAAACTCTTCCGAAAAATGGAAACCCTGAGAATTTAGTAGTATTGCAACAATCTTTGCCAATTGGGTATCAGTGGGCGACTGGCCCCAAGGCCTCGTATCTGACGTCATTGTAGAGTCTGCTCTTTAGTTTGGTGTCGTTTGTTTGTTGTTTGGTTTAATACAATTTTTCTTTTTTTTTCTTTTTTACTCTTGATATTTGGAAAATCTACACAAACATAAACAAAAGCTAAACTTAGTTATTTAACAAGTACTCAATAGCCCCTTGCACACTTCCTCCAGTTCTTCTCAAAGCTTCTATATTCCTCTCAAATTCATAGAACCCCATATCATTCAATTGTCTTAACTGAGATTCGTACCTTTCCTCTGGAGGCCTATTATCGGCTGGAGCGTTGGGCTGGCCGAATGGGCTGCCGCCAGCACCACCAGCACCACCAAACAATGCAGCTGGATCTATAGGTGGAATACCATTAGGGAATAAACCAGCAAAAGGATTGCCCTGCGATGCTGCATTGCCTTGAGTAGCTGTATTTCCACTCAGCTGGTTAGTTCCGGAGTTGTTGTCCCCACTTGTAGGTCCTTCGGCAGTTGGGTTGGCACCTGGAGCAGGGAATGACGAGTCAGTTCCAGATCCTGCCCCACCAAGTCCACCAAATGGATTTGCACCGCCGGCTTGTTGCATCTGCATCATTGATCTCAACATTTCCGGGTTGGTCATCATTTGTCTAAACATAGGACTTTGCATCATCTCTCTAACTTGAGGTCCCATTGCTCTCAATTGTGGATTTTGTTGAATCATAAAGTCCAACATTTGTGGATTGGACAACATTGCATTTAATTGTTCCTGAAACATTGGGTTTGACATCATTGAGGTGAGTTGTTCTGGATCAGGCAAATTGGAATTCATCCCCCCATCAGGCCCAAAAAGGGATGCCGAAGGTAATTGAGTGTACCCAGCATAGCGGGCACCAGTCAAGTCAGCTAAAGGATTGAATGAACCTTGTCCTGCAGCAATATTTGAAGGGATATTTGATGAGGGAGTCTGCGCCGTTGCCTGAGCTGTTGAAGAATCCGATGCTGATGCTGATGTTGCTGCTGCTGCTGGAGCAGATGCAGTGTTGGCACTTTTCACCAAATGTATAGTGTGTGCATTTTGAATCTTATAAAACTCGGCTGTTTCAGTATCTTTCAACACCTTACCTGAGTAGATTAATCGCTGACTTGATGCTGGGATTGACGATTTCTCCGCCACCAACTCCTTTAACTCGGATATCTTTATTGAAGGGAGGAAAGTAACTTCATACTTCTTATCTCCGGAAGACTTTATTGTAACTGTGATTTCCGACATGACAGGACGATTTAAGGTACAATGTGAGAAGGAGATTGTATCGGGTGGCGGACTATTTTTGCGGGACTCAACTTTTTTTTTTTTGTTTTCTATTTCGTATTTTTTTGACCAGAACGCTTATGCAGGACTATACGTGTTTCTTTTTTATGACTATGGACAATATGTCAAAATAAGGGGCCATTTGTAGGTGGGTATGACTGCGAGGAAAACGAAGACAACTTATTCATTGATATCTTGCTCTTCCATACTACCTCAACTGGAACAGATGCAGCTATGACAGAGTTGATTTAGAATATGCATTAATGAAATTATTTACTTACTTGACTTCGACTTTCCACCCACAATCCAAACAGCTGTAACCGTCCGTTCCGTCCTCAAAAGTCACCTTTCCTTTGCTTTGCATCAATGCCCACTCCCCCTTGGCAGGCACTTTTCTGCAAGAATCGTTAAGACACCGTGCTGATGTCTTTTTATACCTCAACCCACAAGAATTGCAAAGTTGGCCCTCTTTAGTAGACCAAGAGGGCCTCCAACATGGAGAATCCAGCAGGCCACAAGATATGCATGCTCTAGGAGTATTTTGGTGGTGGTGATGGTGATGATGAGTTCTAGGTGGTGTTTTCGGCAAGTCTGAACGTGTCAGTTTTGGAGATTGAATGATGAATTTGTGAGTCGTATTGGCAGATGGCGATGCGCGTTGATGGTGGTAGTGCTCTAAGGAAGAGGGGTGAAATGATGTGGTTGTTGTTGTGGTGGTGGTGGTGGTTGCAGTGGGTGATGAAAATGAATTTCCGACCAGCGGTAATGCATGGAAGCTGGGTAATTTGTCAGCTTGGTGTGTTGTTGGTGTTTTGGGTTGGGTAAATGCAGGGGGCTGAAGTGCACGTGGTGTTTCAGTCGGTGGAGAAGCGAGTGCCTTTGGCTGGTTGGCAAGTTTCAAATATTGTGGGAAATTTTTAACATCCGTCATAAATGCTCCATTCAAGTATGTATAATTTGACTCAAATGGAAAGTTTATTTTCTTGTCGACTGCAGCTGTCGTCTCCAATGACATTTTGGAGCTTAATTTTGATGTAAAATTTGGTTTGCTGTTGTTGTTAAGGTAGTTGTATTTAGTGAGGTGGTAAGTCTTTGATTCCTTCATGATCTTGTCCAATAACTCCGACCTCCAACTTTTATCACTGCTGGTATCAAAAAACTCCAGTGAAACTGTGGAGGAGAACTGGGTAGGGTGTCCCAGTTTCAACGTGCTGATTGCAGGTAATTTGATATTTTCTGGAGATCCCAAGGGGGAAGATGATGGTGAGTTTGAAGGTGAAAGGAGGTTGGCAAAATGCTTCTTTGGAGATAAAGATTTGGACCTAAGACTTGATGGTGGTAGTTTTGGCTTGACGATGTTTTCAATGACAATTTTTGAGTGGTTGTTTGATGGTGGAGAAGGAGGTGCTGTTTTGGGTCTCTTGTTTGATGTTTCCAACTCATCGTCAAGGGAACGTTTGAAACGAAGGGTTTGCTCGAAACTGTGTGATCTAAAACGATTGAAATGGTTGTTCATGACTAAACTCATGCTGTTTTCTTTTTTTAACTTATGATTAGAAGAGAAGAGGTGGGTATCTGTGTATGATATAAACGAATGAATGAATGTGTGGTATTAATGTTCTAAGGGGTATGCAAGAAATTGTTGAATTAGAAGCTTTGGGAATTGGCTTAGTTTATATGTCTTCGACGTTTTGCTTGTCGAAAGGAAAGTCGTTGAAGAAGATGATTCGATATTTCTGAACTTGGATCAACTGACAAGCCATTCTAGGGGTTGAATTCAATGATTTTGTGCAAAGCCATTATTTGCATTCTGAAATTCTTGTTGTAAATTTTCTGATCCGATCAGATCAATTCTCAATTGGGAATAGACCTCGCCTAATTGGGAAATGCTATTGCAAGCAGACAAGGAGAAAAATGAAAATGCTTGCGACAGATGTAAATATTACACAAAATCGAATTCTAAAATTTAGACTCATATTGGTAGCGAAAAGATATGCGGCACAAACTGGATGTTTTGCTGGTAATGTAGAGGAAACATTTGTACCCGCTTGTCTTGTTGCAAGTATATCTTCTTTGGGAGCACCAACCAGCAAGGTGTGTCTTTGTTATTGAAGGTACCGCAGTGTTTCAAATTGGGGGCTTTTTTGCAAAATAATAAGAGATGGAAATCAATTACTGTTTTACACACCCTGATATTCTGAGGTATCCGATATGAGAAGAGAATCAAGTAAAAGATAGTAGACTGCCCATTGCAATGCCTCCCATTTTAAGCAATATCCTATTGTCAGTAACTGCATAGAAGCGCAAACATCTGAAATCTTGAATAAATTACAAGATGTGACGCAATCCAAGTTAAAATGGTTGAGTTTAACAATGGAATGGAAGATCTGGTGCTTCTTGCCAAATGGTTCAAATCGGAATTGGAGTGAACATCGAGAAGATAAAAAATACTGGAACTACGAAGCAGTCTCATCAGATGCTGCTGATCGATATCAAGTGGTCTACTCGAACAAACACCAACAACTCGACGCCATGAAAGCATCCAGATAGATCATCCCCGGACTCTATTTACTAATGAGAATAGCAGGAAGCAATCCCTGCAACTCTAGCGTAATATAATTAAACACAGCTCTATTTTACGTTAGTAAAACTATATCCAATTGAAGAAAAGATTTCAGTCAGTGTTAAAAAGCTCTGATATTATGTTTTTTTCCACACGGTATTTCAGTTGAAGAAATTCGTTGTTGTTAAATAATAGTTCATCATTAGAAATCTTTCAATAAGGCTATAATGTACATACATTTGTTGTTAAAAAGAGGTCCACTTAGACATTCATAGAGTCAAAAGAAAGGGTTTTTAATGAATGAAAAAATTTTTCCCATTTCCAATTTTCCCTTTTTCAATGAGAGAAAAGAGATGAGACGCGGAAATCCAAATAGGAAAAAGCCGCATAGAGAATATTTGTTTAGGGAAACTGTTATTTCGTTGGCACTTCTGTAAGTATATTTCCCACTAGTCCAAGAGACAACTACGACAAGTACAATTATCCAGCCAGCGGATTCTCACTTATCTCTTCCCACTTTACAATCATTGTCTAGTTCAGTTTATGGCTGTGTAACAAAAAAGAGAAAAGGGGTCTCTGTCGCGACAAAACAAACGAACGAAACAAAACGAACAAAAAACTCCAAACTCATATTTGAATACTGTGTGTTCCTTCTTGATTCCTTTAGAGCTTGCTCAGTATCATCATACATTCGCTGTTTCACCATGGCTACTTCTCATGAGCCTAAAAAGGCTAACGATCATACATTTTTGACACCTAAATGGTTCTACAATATGTACTACATCCATTTCCCGTTTATTATGTTGACGAGAGCGGAATCTATTCTACTTCATGGCAGTCTACTACTTCTCATCTTCTTGGTAGTCTATGGTGTCTACTCCTATTTGCTTTATGAGTTGATGATGGCATTATCCCAAGTTTACAAATATGTATTTGCTGATGTGCAAGGTTGAATATACGAACTTTCTTTGAACTTTTTTACGGACTTGTAGAATGCTGTCTTGAATAGCCTTGTTCTCATGAGGGGTACTACTGGTCGACTAATTACATTCCCTGATGGTCATCACAGGCAGGAAATGCTTTCTGCCAACAACAAAGTATTTTGAATGAGAAAAAACTAAAAGTTGGCAACCATACGCGTCTCTCTCTAACACGCATCATTCTTTCTTTACTTTGATTCAAATGCACAATATCAAGCCAAATGCACCATTCAAGCCTCCTAGGCTATTGAGAGAAGGCGACATACAGAACCTACCACCACGAGATCTGATCAAAAGAAATGGTCTGCTAGCCAAACGTCCGACTTCATCAGCAAATACCGCGTCGGCCACTGCCAAAAAAGCCAAATGCGAGTCGACCCCTGACTCGCTGGGTGTAAAATGGACCACACAGTGGAGAAAAAAGACCAACAAAAAGAATAAAAACTGGGACGGAGATGGGTTTGCTACCATTAGGTCTACGGCGTTTGGTTGTGAAATCACGGTTAAAAATTCAGATGGCAAAGTCATCAGTAAAAAATCGTTTAACCTGGGGCCAGACTTGGATGATGTGATACCCATCGGTATGTATGAGATCATATTAGACGAAAAGTTGGGTCAGGATGAATCGGATAATGTAAAACCCGTTGAGCAAGTCGAGGAGGTTGTAGTGGCTCCAAAAATTGTCCAGACAAAGTTCAAGAAAGTTGTACAGGATGAAGTGCAGGAAACCAGGAAACCATTGTATGAAGAGAACCAGGACAAGTTCACGCTAACTGCTCCTCCTAATGTGCAAGCACACGTTCCAGTGAGGATTGATCCTATCCTTGCATCCAAGTTGAGACCTCATCAATTAGAAGGGGTCACTTTTTTGTACGAATGTTTGATGGGATTCCGCAATTTCAAGGGAAATGGTTGTTTATTGGCAGATGAAATGGGTTTGGGCAAGACATTAATGACAATAACGACCATTTGGACATTGATGAAACAAAACCCTTTTCCCGACCAAAAGAAGCCGGTTGTCAATAAGGTTTTGGTGGTTTGTCCAGTTACTTTAATCAATAATTGGAGGGACGAATTTAAAAAGTGGTTAGGATTGAACAAGGTGAATGTATTGACGTTAAACAATCCTATGTCTGACGATAAACGTGACATAGTCAACTTTGGAAAGTTGAATGTCTACCAAGTCCTCGTTATCAATTATGAGAAATTACTTGCCCATTATGAAGAGCTCTCTACAATCCCGTTTGATCTATTGGTTTGCGATGAAGGGCACAGGCTAAAAAATAGTGCCAATAAGGTAATGATCAACTTGACAAAGTTAAACATCCCCAAAAAGATTGTATTGACTGGGACTCCCATACAAAACTACTTGGTAGAGTTTCACACACTCGTGTCGTTTTTGAATCCACACGTCTTGCCAGATATAAAGATATTTCAAAAAGAGTTTATCAACCCTATTTCAAGGGCCAGAGATGTCAATTGCTTCAATCAGGAGATAAAAATGCAAGGTGAAGAAATGTCCCAAAAATTGATTCTGTTGACTCACAAATTTATCCTCCGGCGGACACAGGCGATACTCGAAAATTACTTGACAGACAAGACTGATATATTACTATTTGTCCCTCCAACTCAATTACAGCTAGACTTGTTTGATCTGATTAAGAAATCAGAAAAGTTTCAACAATTGGACTCGGGGGCAATTTCATTGTCGCTCATAAATCTATTCCGCAAGATTTGCAACTCCCCGTCATTATTGGCATCAGACGATTTTTACAAAAGTATATCCGATGGAACTTTAAAATTATCTTCGAGCTCGGGTAAGCTAAATGCTCTCATACCGTTGGTGTTGGAAATTGCAGCTCAACAGGAGAAATTGGTTCTAATTTCAAACTACACCACTACCTTGGACTTGTTAGAGACGGTAATCAGGAAGCTCAATTTGCAGTATTTACGCTTAGATGGATCCACCCCAAACAACATGAGAAGCAAGCTTGTCAACCAGTTCAACAAGAACGATCTGATTCTGGTGTTTCTACTTTCCTCTAAATCAGGTGGGACTGGTATCAATTTAGTTGGCGCCTCACGATTAATCTTGTACGACAATGATTGGAACCCATCGACAGATTTGCAATCCATGTCACGAATTCACCGGGATGGACAGCGGAAGCCGTGTTATATTTACAGAATCTTCACCACAGGTTGTATCGACGAAAAGATTTTCCAGCGGCAATTAATGAAGAACAAATTGAGCTCAAAATTCCTCGATAACGACTCGTCGTCAAAATCAGATGTGTTTGACTACAGTGACTTGAAAAACTTGTTTGAAATCAACATGGACACCAAGTCAAACACCCACGATCTATTAGGGTGTTCGTGTGCTGGTGATGGCTTTATATTGTCGCAAGAAGTGGAGCCCGAGTCGGATGAGGAACCACCAGCAACGACTAAAGCGTGGATGTCAGCTGCAGAATTCCAACAAAACGTTGACAAGAATGGAAATCTGACTACAACCAAAGCAGTTAAAAAGGCGTTGAACGACTATCAGCATTATTCCCCTGAATTAAACCCAAACTTGGAGTTTGATTCGGTATTGAGTAGGATCCTCAACAACAAGTTGTTCAAAGATAAATCGCCATTTACGTATATAATGCAAAAGGGTAACAGTAAATAGATAAATAGCTCTGCTACACGGTGTAAAAAAATTTAATTAGACCTAGGAAACGGTTTTGATGTCTTGCATTCAATTATACAACTAATCTACTTACTTCTTAGCAGCCTTTTGAGCAGCCTTGGTGACCTTACCAGCCTTGTCGGATTTTTCAACAGACTTGATGACACCAACAGCAACGGTTTGTCTCATATCTCTGACAGCGAATCTTCCCAATGGTGGGTAGTCAGTGAAAGCTTCAACACACATTGGCTTGGTTGGGACCATCTTGACGATAGCAGCATCACCGGACTTGATGAATTTTGGTTCTTCTTCCAATTTCTTACCGGTTCTTCTGTCAATCTTTTCAATCAAGGTGTCGAATTTACAAGCAATGTGGGCAGTGTGACAATCCAAGACTGGAGAGTAACCAGCTGAGATTTGACCTGGATGGTTCAAGACAATGACTTGAGCGTTGAAAGAGTCACATCCCTTTGGTGGGTCGTTCTTGGAGTCACCACAGACGTTACCTCTTCTGATTTCCTTAACGGAAACGTTCTTGACGTTGAAACCAACATTGTCACCTGGGACACCTTCAGTCAATTGTTCGTGGTGCATTTCAACGGACTTGACTTCAGTGGTAACACCAGCTGGGGCGAAAGTAACAACCATACCAGCCTTGATGATACCGGTTTCAACTCTACCGACTGGCACAGTTCCAATACCACCGATCTTGTAGACATCTTGCAATGGCAATCTCAATGGCTTGTCAGTTGGTCTGGTTGGTGGTTCGATAGCATCAATAGCTTCCAACAAGGTCTTACCAGTAGACTTACCAGCTTTAGTTTCCTTTTCCCAACCCTTGTACCATGGACAGTTGGTAGATGCTTCAATCATGTTGTCACCGTTCCAACCAGAGATTGGGACGAATGGGACAGTCTTAGGGTTGTAACCAACCTTCTTGACGAAGTTAGAGGTCTCCTTGACAATTTCTTCGTATCTACCCTTGTCCCATTTGACTGAGTCCATCTTGTTGATGGCAACAATCAATTGTCTAACACCCAAGGTGTAAGCCAACAAAGCGTGTTCTCTGGTTTGACCATCCTTAGAGATACCAG